CCTTTCCTTCTTAAATACTTTCCTTTTTCTCATATGTTCCCAGCCTCTGAAATATTTAACTCTTTATTCATTTTATTCATATATTTATACAAAGTACTTCTTTTGTTTGCAAGGTTCTTTGATCAAAGTGAATGAAGTTGATAATACAAATATTTTTATTGGTGTTGCTAGATACGCCTTGGTTCCTCTGCATGGACTAATAAAGGTATGCTTTATGTTACTTATAGTTACGCAATTTTTTGTGGTTCATGTTAATTGTATTCTTGATTGACAACATGGTACGTAGATTGTATTAATCATGATTGTAATTCTCTTCTTAATGGGTCACTTCTGGTTTCTATTGTGTGAATTGGATCTCAATTGTATTTTAAATGCTAGTCTTTTTGTGATTTCACTTGTGGTCATAAATTCATATTTATGGTTCAAGGTGGTGAAAAATCCTTTGTGGCAATTTTTTAAAATATTCATAGGTAAAACTCTAGATAGTCTCCTCAATAAAAGCAGCAGATCAGGCTATCAGAGAAGGCATCCCTAGAGGAATGGTTTTTCTTTTATGGGGGACGGGTAACTGAAAACAAGGTTGTAGATTTTCAAAAACCCTGAAGGCTAGGATTGTCAACTGAAGTCATGACAACTGAAGATCCAAAATTTAATATTTGGAGTCCTATCGGCCAGCGGATATGGAGGGATTTTCTATAAGCTGTATTTTGATGGATCTAAGTCCTAGCTATGATTACTAAGTCTTAATTGTTTGAAAATAAGTAATCTCTGCACCAAGTTACAGGAACTTGAGCAGGATGATGCACAGAGATTGGGTCCTTATATTGCTTCGTCCAGAGAGCTGTGTGGCGATGTTTAAAATTTCATCACTTGAGTACTCTGTCTGGATCTTGAGAACCAGAGTTAGGCCCTTTGTACTTCTAAATCATGTACAAATCATAAATAACGTAGGTAGTGAAGCATTAGCTCCTATATCTACCAAACAAATCTTGGCATTTCCTAGGTAATAAAATAGCACGGGCATTGGAACTTCATATAACATAATACTTGCTACGTCTGACTAATGACCACTCTATGTATGATATCATTTTCTTAGATAAGGGTGATTTGCTGGTGCTTTTTATATGACCATGAGTTTTGCGGTAGCTGTTATTAATCATTATATTTATATTGATTCCTTGACATTTTGAGTATCCCGCCTAACTTACCATTGAAAAGAAGTAATTGACGAAATGCCTTTAAGCATTAATTTTGGCACTTGGCGAAGTATGGCCAATCTCTCCAGTTTTCTTTCATATTAATTTTGTCTTTGATAGATCTAGTGGTGTGATCTATAGTCTTAACAATATGTTATCATGGGACTGCTTTGGGATTTGTTTTTATTTATGGTGTTGTGACCGATATGGAATCAGACAACATGGGAGGTTCTTAATACATTTATTCCATACTCTTGCTAATGTTTCTCATAAAAATACTTTATAGGAGTTTTGTGACCAATATGGAATTCAGATAACATGAGAGGTTCTCAATACATCCGTTGTTTTTCTATAATCTTGCCACTGTTTCTGTTATACGAGCTTCATAGGAGTTTTGTGACCAATATGGAAAACTGGTTTTCCATTGGCAAAATCAGAAACTATTTAGGACTTACATTTTGGGATAGTTTAAACAAAAGTGTTGGTGTTAGAGCTTCTTTGTTTTTTTTAGTTTCTTTTACTATGGAAATGGATGCCTTGGTCCTTTAGTTAATGGGGGTGGAATATGTTGTTAGGTATAGGGTTAATTGAGAAATATGAAATTTCTTCTTATAAAACCTGGAGTTTTTGAAGACTTAAGTGATTAAATGTTTCATCCCCAGTTTTACTTCCCCCCCCCCCCCCCGCCCCTGGATCAATCTCTGTCAATTGATCAATATAAATGTATGACTAGTTTTTTCCTCTGAGTAATAAATAGGTATGTCAATATTCACCGTGCAACTATCCAACATCATATTGTTTTTTTGAAACTTGTATCTGCGCTCTGGCTTATCTCTTATAAGAAAATAATTGAATTGCAGTTTCATTGAGGGCTGTGGGGGTTATGAGGTTTCTGATTTTTGAGATTTAGAAGCATCAATTTGTTTTGTTGATATCTGAGCTAAGCAGTAATATCTCAATATCTCATGCAAATCCCAACCTTCGAATAATTGGATTTTACTGATTAGGATGATTTTATGAGTGCCATATTGTGGTAAAAGAAGGCAGGTGTTCACTCAGATTGTTGTTTATTAGTTATTACTGGTAATCAACGATGTTGCCTGCATTTTGTCAGTGGTCTTATTTTCCAGTAAACTTCTGCGTCAGTAAACCGGAAATTGCTAGTTCTTTATGTCAATTGACACTATTTCTTACTTGGTTGTTCACACATCTTTTTCTTTTTCTCTTTTTTTTTTTGTTCGCTTTTTCTCACATCTTGGCATGCCTACTTTTTTTTATGTCTGTAGGAGATTAGGTGCTATGGAGTGTAAGTGAACTCTATGTCAGTGCTGCAGGTGTATATTCTGTATTCCAACTACATTTGTCTTTTTAAAAAATCTTCTCTTTTCGTCATTGAGGATCAAGATACCATATCTAGCATGAGTCAAAACCTTATATCTAATTGAGGGAAAACTATAGTTAGTACCTACTGAATTATAAGTCATAACTCAGTCTAATGCAATATTAGGATAAAATCTGGATTTTGAACGGTGTTGAAGAAATGTATAGAGCAGTCATTTATATTTACTTTTGGGTATGTACTTTGAAAATCTTCTCTGCTATGCTTCTTTGGATTGTTTACACAGAAGGTTCTGTATCAGGATGCTGCTTTCATAACTGGATAGACACCGTGACTGACAGAAGCATGTCGGTTTCCTCTACATCCTCCAACTTTCTTTTACTTGGACCTATACTTCATTTGGAATTAAAGGGTTATCTGGTGAACTTCTGATAAGTGAAAAACTTTCGTTGATTACAGGAGTGGTTATGACTCTTATGAGGTCCGTATCTGTTATGTTGTCATGAATGTAACACACATCTGATGCCAGCTGCACTGTTACTCATAGGCAATATTTTCCTATCAAATGATGGTATGAGTTGGTGGGTAAATAAATTGTGAAGATCATCCTGAGATTTTCTCTAATTGGTGGATGGTGTGAATCAGTGAATGTGAGTTTTCTTCATGGTAGTTAAATTAAAACCATGCTTTTTTGTAACAAGTCAGCCGGCTTGCATTCTGTAGAATCTTATTTTCTCTAGCTGATTCCTAATAAGCATTTTTATCCATTAACTGGGCAAGTAGTTGAATGAAGTTGTTGCTAAGGCTGGTCATAAGTAGTTCTGCAGTCTGCACAATTCCTGACTTTTATGGTATTGCACAGCGCCACAGCTAGACATTTGCTATTCCAAAGTTAATTTTTGCAGGGTGTTAAGCTTTCAGGTACTTTTATGCTAGAAACCGGTTATATGATGGTAGTGTTGAATCTGCTGATTACCCATGGAATAGGTCATATGCTGCTCCAAAAACAACCACGGTCGAGCTTTGTATTCTTTATCTGAAAATTTTGTCAGAAAATGGTTTTGATGAGAAAAAAAGAGTCGTAAAATGAACAATGCATAATGAAATGTAATTAACTTTAGAGTAGGATTAGTTTAATTAACCAACATCTTAGCCTACAACTGTCCTAGTGTCTATGTTTCTTTATCTAAGAATTGTTTTAACCCTTTGCTTTAATTGGTGATTTTCCTTGATTATAACCTTCTGTTTGGCATTTGTAAGATTCATCTGATTCATGTCTGTCGTTTACATTTCCTGACTTGCACCTTTTGTGGACTCAGGAAGCTCAAGGGCAGTTGCTTATGATTGAGATTGAGTGCCAACACTCGCAAAGGAGAGAGACTTCAAATTGCAATTTGCAACTAATCCTTTTTCAAGTTTCAGTCTTTAAACCAGAATTTGTTGGATATACAGAATTTCAATGTTTCATGTGAATTCCAGAGCCTTCATGTACTAGTGGTTGTACAATTTTATTTTATTTTATTTTATTTGATGAAATGAAATATGAGTTCAGTTTGACAGTCTAGTTCCTAATTGACATTTTTTAGTTGTTTAAAATTTCCAAGTTCTGCTAAATCTGCAAAATTTTTCCTATATACCAGTATTGCCCAAGTGCCAATTTCAAGCATCACAGTATATGATAAAATAGATCAAACCTGCAATGGTCTTCTTTTCAGCATCAAATTTCATGCTAACAATATACAGTCTTAAATGAACTTACCTCAAGCTTTTCTTAAATGGCCAGATTTTCTTCAAACTGTCACTTATAGTTAAGCTTTTCTTAAATGAATTTGCTACGAGTAGTAAACTAAGCTGGTGAAATGAAATAAACCCAATTTCTGATTGGTTCCAGGTTTCTGATTTCGCTGTTTCAAATTCCTGGTTACCTATCAGATACAACTAAAATAAACCCAATTGAAGAATTTTTGCAAGACAATTATAATTCCTTATTTGTACTCGCACTACAAATTTGTTAATACTGTATTAACTCACTCAACTATAATCTGGTTCAAATTCACTCACCCAACTTGACACCTTCACCAAATAACTTTCAGCTTTTCAGAATTCACTTACTTACCTCAAAAGTCAAAAACATTTACCCGGTTAATATACTTTCATGTTAACAAACACAAATCAAGCAAAAATCCAAAAGGCTGTACTCACAAAACAATCAACGAACAATGTTGAAATTTCAAATAAGATTGCAAGAAAACTCAAAACACAATTACTGCCAAAAACTTAGCTTGGAACAGAAATCAACTGACTTCAAAAGTCTCAACTCTTTAAGTAGGTTAAGAATCTCGAAGTTTTAACCCACTTTTCAATACAACTACCATTTCAGGATACTTTATTAGATTCGATCACAAAAACAACAAAAAAAAATCAAAAAATTCAATTGCGTATACCTGAAAATTAGAGAATAAAAATAATAGGGAGAACAAATATTGTTTTCCATTAATAACCATATGATTACAGAAACTGAATCAATCAGCTATTGACTCAATCCCCATACAACCCCTTTAACATACAGCCCTCACTAACCCCTTTAAAAAGCCTAATTTAAACTTATACTAACATAGTTACAAAATGCAAAAACACAAAACCAACTTCCAAGCCAAACACATCCTTAAACCTAACCCGAAACCAAATTCGCTATCATCTAAGCCTTCTTAGGGGATTTAACGCCCTTGGGAGAGGGCTTAACATCCTTGGCAGCCTTGTCTCCCGTCTTCTTTGGCAATAAAACTGGGTTAATGTTTGGTAGAACTCCTCCATGAGCAATTGTCACTCCTGACAACAATTTTCCGAGCTCGTCATCGTTCCTTACTGCAAGGAGAACATGCCTTGGGATGATTCTGTTCTTCTTGTTGTCTCTTGCAGCATTTCCAGCCAATTCCAGAACCTTCATTTCAATTTAAATCAATCATCAAAATCTAGATCCAAAACATACTAATAATTTCTTCCATAATTTTGAAAATGAACAACAAATTAAGACAAAATCAATGTTTTAATACGGAGCATAGAATAGCATTAAATGCTCACATCAAAATGAAATCAACATCACACATTTTCCAGATTACTATCAATCGTATCCAGAAATTCAAATGAAACCAAAACTTTGGATCTGAAAACACATTTTCCATAATAAAATCCGCATAAAACCTCAAATTCAATCAATAATGAACAAAATAAATCTGGAAAAATTAAAAAAAAATAATAATCATAATAATAAATCAGAGATTTGATTTGGTTGATATACCTCGGCAGCAAGGTACTCAAGAACAGCGGCTAAGTAAACAGGAGCGCCACTACCAACACGCTGAGCGTAGCGACCTTTCTTCAAATATCGGCCAATTCTACCGACTGGAAACTGCAATCCAGCCTTAACTGAGCGAGTCACCGACTTCTTCTTGGGGCCTCCGCCCTTCCTTCCGGCAGCTCCCTTCTTCGCCTTTCCTCCGGTAGTTGAATCCATTGTTTCTCTTTCTAGAAATTTGCAGAGATTTTGAAAGAGTTTGAAATGAGATGGTGAATAAGGGTGGAGGGAGTTGTGGGTTTATATAGTGGAGTTGTGGGAAATGGGTTTTTGGGGGGAGATTGGATTGTGGGTTTTGAGCCGTTGGATTTGGTTGGATTTACGGATTAGGATCTGTTTTGATAGCGATCCGTGTGCTTTTGAATGGACCAATGGGAAGCGAGTATCACTTTTTTGAAATTTTGGTTTGGGAATTGGAATCCCGCCACATCTCTTCTAAAATTTTCAACGTTATTTTTGTTTCCCTCTTTGTTACTTCGTACAAATTATTGTGAAAATAATATGGTTATTATTATTACTTGGTATTAGTGTATTACATAGGAATAGGGATGCTAATCGAGTTGAGCAATTCGTGAGCAAGTTGGACTCGACTCGACTTGCCTCGAGATGTTAATAAGCACGAGTTGAGTAAGCTCTAACTCGACTCGATAAGCTTGTGAGCAACTAAATAATATATTTTATTAATATAGAATTTACAAACAAAGTTATTACCATGAACAAATTTGACACTTAATAAGAGTTAATTTATATTATTAAAAAAGAAAAAGTAAATCTTTAATAATAAATAAAATAAATAAAAGAAAACTATATAAAGTGAACAAAAAACAATAAAGGCCTATAATTTTAGAAGGGCCAAAACTTTAATGAGCAGATCGTGAGCTACTCGACTCGACTTGAAACTATAACAAGCATGAGTCGAACAGGTTTTATTGGCTTAAAACTTTAATGAGCACGAGTTGAGCATATGAAAAAAGTTTTAAAGTCGAATTGAGTACCCTTTAGCTCGTGATCGACTCGCTCGATTAGGACCCCTACATATGAGTGATATACTTACAAAATGATTAATACTCGTAATGTATAATTAGTATTGTATTTACAATTAATTTTATTAATATAATATTTTATACTTCCTCCGTTTTTTTTTATTGCATCATAGGGTTTTTGAAGGCAAAATTTGGTAGTAGAAAAAAGTAAGAGAGAGAAACGTAAAAATACAAAATTGTCCATATAATGTAAGATAAAATAAAAAGTAAGTGTGAAAAAGTAAGGGTATGTTGGGTATTTGCAGTGTGAACATAGATATTTTTTATCCTAAAAAAGAAATGATGCAATAATAAGTAAACTTCCTAAAGTAGTAAGTGATGCGATAAAAAAAGAACGGAGGAAGTATATATTTACCGTATATGTTAAAATTCCGTACTAAGCCCTTGTTCTTTAATCTTCACCTTGTTAATTGTTTAAACTGATTAAATTTATTTTAGAGTTAGGCCCTATTCTTTCACCTTAAAAAAAATATTTAGTAAAAACAATTTTAGTTTTATACAAATAATTTTGATTCAGTAAAAATCAATAATTCAAAGAAAGAAATATAATAAAGAATCAAGTAAAAAAAATAAATCAGACTAGTATAATTAATTTCAGTTCAATAAAAATAATGTAAGTTCAACAAAAATAATTTTAATTCATTAAAAAAAATTAACAGGTTTAAGGTAAAGTGAACAGAGTCTTACTTATTACAAATGATATTTACTTAACTAAACTTATTTTTACTGCCAAAACTAACTTTTTTTTTTAAGTAACTAAAATTAATTTTTACTAAATTGAAATTAAAGTGAATAGAACAGGGCCTAATACAACTAGTATGTCACTCGTTTGTAAGTTTCAAATTCTCCCTTTTTTCAAAATGTATAACTTGAGTTTTTATATCTGTCGAAACACAACTTTGAATCATCAATATCTCTAATTAGATTTTAGTAAAAAATTATATTATGAAAGTAGACATTGTAACAAAATTTAGTCAAAGGTAACATGCGAATAATGCAAAGTATCAAGTGATGCATTTAAAAAAACGGAGGGAGCAATAAAAAGATATAAACATATGAATCATTTAATTTACCTGATTTTTACTTATATTATCTGAATTTATCTTTATCTTATTTGGACTAATCAACTTACCTAAACTTTTTTCAATTGTATTACCCTCTATCATAATGCGTACTTGATTGAATTATTTACTCATAAAGTTATTTTATTTGAATTATTAACTCTTATGTGAACTTATCAAAGCTTACTTTTCTTGAAAAAGTAAGTATTACTTTGTAAACTTTAATTTATTTGTTTGTAACACAAGCTTTTTGCAGTTAATACGTATAATGGCTAAGAGCCAATCCCAATCCAATCATGTATTCTAGTATATTTTCACCCAAATTTTATACTTCTTCCGTTTTTTTTAGTTGACACGTTTCCTTACTCACGTTTGCCAATGCATAAATTCAACCATTAATATCTTTAATTATCGATAAGCAAAACTTATGAAAAGTTGATATTTTGAAAATATATATCGTGACGAATCTAACAAGATCCCACATGACTATATTTTTCATTATATATAAAACACAAAACACTGTAAAAGGGAAGTGTGTGAATAGTGTTAAAGTCAAAATGTGTTATCTGAAAAAAAACGGAGGTAGTATGTTTCAATCAAGCTTCACAGCATCCAATGGTGTGTTCTTTACACTTTGCAAATATAAGTTTTAAGTCGTCATAGATAAGGTAATTATAATCACATCCAATATGTTATGTTAAGTTCTAAAAAGTTTATTCTCTTAGTTACACTCTTCCAATTAGGTCTAGTCCCTTTTAGCTGATCTAATAAATTCAAATTAGGTCAATCTAGATTCAATAAGTCAAACTGATCGAATAGGTCCGATAAGTTCAAGTGATATAAATTTACTACATTAGATAAAATGAAAGAACTCACCATTTCAAGGTCCATTCTAATCCAAATGTATGTTTCAATCATATGTTTTAATTTGTTTTTCCTTGGTGAAAGAGAGCGGCAAACTGCAAAACAAAATAACTGTTAGGAACTTGTGTTGCAAATGCTAACACATTTCTTGCTGCAATCACGCCTACGAATTTCTTTTTTAATAAAGTAACACAATGATTATAAAAAATCACCTCAGAAGGAACTAGTTGTGAATTCACGTCTATTCTGTAATTTGCAAGCCAATCCATTGCACTTGATATTTCATGTTCAACAATTTTTAATTAATTTAATAGATTTGTGCTGAAGATAATAGCCCTTTTTTAATTACCCTCTAAGTAGATACTCGTATTAGTGGATGGATTCCAATATGCTTGTCTTTCGCAAGATTGTTCTCCAAAAACTATCATATCATGTACCAAAGATCTTAGTTAGAAAAACTAAAATGTACCTGCCTAATAATAAAAAGAATACATAACCATCAATAAATGGTTGAAGAAAACATAAAGTGGATCTCGATGAATCATTTGAATGTGTAAATTCAAATAAACCATAAACTTTTACAATACTTATCAATAAGTGATCTAGTGTAAAGTTTTGCCTAGAGATCAAAACATACAAACAACACAAGAAGATTGTTTTGTGGATAGAATTATAATTATCTAAAAGATTATTAATTAAAGATCAAAATTATACACCAACCTATTGTCCATCAATTTTGTGAATGAAGTAAAAGGCTATTAGGCATAATCCAACTCAAGACTATTTGTTTATAACCATGAGTGTGATAATTCCATAAAAATAAATAAATTATGCACTAATTATACTTTATATTTGTCAAAACGTATGCACGTGGTACAAATTTACAATTAATTTGCATACGAAATATTTATCATGAGTAGATTAATTATAATGATGAAAAAATTTAATTCATTTAAGTGAATGCCAACTAATTGAAATGATTAAAGTTTTCAAAGGTGATAACCAATACCTAATATGAAATCTCATTTACATCTTTACCTTTTGTGTTTTCTCTACACCCAATTTTTATTTTTTATTTTATTAATTTCAAATTCTCTAAGGTAGTGTTTGGATACAAGGATTTAATTTCAAATGCTTGATTTCAAATCTGGAATTTCAAATACAAACATTCAATTCCAAAGTTTCTGTTTGGGAAAAATTTAGATTTATAAATCCATCATTTCAAATTTACATTGTTTGGATAAAACTAGAATTTTAATTTCAGAATTGTAAATGTAGTAGCTTAATAAAAACGTTATAAATTAAGTCATCCCATAAACTAAAAAATTAACCAAATTGATACAAGATCCTGAATTTGTAGCAACTTCAGAGTGAGTTGCTTTCGGTGAGATGATCATGGTCGGGATTGAAATTGACGAGATGATGAATTGGTGAGAAAGTTGCTTCAATAAAGAATTCAGAGTACGCTACAATGGAGGAGAGAAAGCTCCAAAGCCACTTTAATGGAGATTCTAAGCTATGCTGCAATGAAGGAGGGAAAGCTTCAAAGACAATTACATGGAGAATTCAGAGTATACTAATGGACAAGAGAAAGCTCCAAATCCGCTTAAATGGAGATGTCAGAGTATGCTACAATGGAGGAGCGAAACCACCATAGCTGCTTCAATGGAGGAGAGACCAAGCCCTAGGAGAGAGAGAATTGGGGAAGCAGGTGAATTGGTGAATGTGGAATTTGAAATGACAGGGTAAATTAAGTTATTTACAAATCCAGGATGTAAAGAGGTTTAGTATGTAGGTTGGAATTGACCCAAATTAAATTTCAAATTCTTTGGATTCCCAAACAAAGGATTTGGGCCAAATTCATCATTTGAAATGAATTACTTATTTCCAAACAGGCCATTAATATATTCCCAGCCCAAAGTCATTGTGCTTTAAGATGTAGAATCAAGGTTTAGCATGGCCCAGATGAGCAGAAAAGCTGCCTATGGCCCTAAGTAGCAGTATAGCACAATGTTTCTTGTCAAGTCTATTGTATTCCAGCATTTCAGCTATGAAAGGAGTAACTGGAGTAGAATTACTAGAATAGGCATCTGCCCGCTCCATTGATCAAAATACACAAATAGATGTAATCGGAAAATGTCAATGTATCAAGTATCAATAACAACTGCCTTTATGCATGAACAAAATTTTACAAAAGTTACAACTTCAGGAAAATAAAAATAATTATCACAGTTATCAAATATTCAAATGGGAAGATCAACATCTTTCACAATTTTATCCCTGCTGAAAGGAGATTGAGAACACCAAGGATCTTTTACCCTTGCTCCCTTTGTCCCATGATCCGACAGCTTATCATCACAACAAAGAAAAAAACAAAACTACTTGCTGCAGCTACATTACTAATCCAAGGAGAAGTAATTGCATGATCTTGCTTTTTCAAGGGCTTGAGATCAACAAATGGACTCACAGGGCTGCTTCCAAAGTTTCAGATATTTCCATGGAAAATTTCATCGATAGAGCAGAGCTCAATATATACTCATTTGCACAGGCAACAATGATTCAGCTACATATATTGAAGAAAATCATGATCATTGCTTGTGAGCCTGATGAACACGGATATTCCTCCCATCCAATACCTGTTTGGCAGCAGGAATGACAGGTTCATGATCTTCAGTTGCTAGATATGCAAAATGATGTGAGCCATTGGACACTAACCTGACCATCCATTTCCTTAAGAGCTGATGCAGCACCATCTTCAGAAGTACACTTCACAAATCCAAATCCTCTTGATTTTCCAGTGACATGGTGACAAATAACTCTGACTAGAAAACACAGAATCATCAATCAGCAATAATATAACAAGTAGAGAAGAAAGATAGTTCCATACTATCAACTTCAACAATAGTATTTCGTACTATAATATTACCTTCAATAATTTCACCATGCTGCTTGAAAGCATCTTGTAATACAGTTTCATTCGTATCATAAGAAAGCCCTAATCACAGAGGAAGAACACGATTGAAACCTGTTAAGTCAACAACAATTTTCCATGAGAATAAAAAAGTGTAATTGAATTAAAAGCAACCTACGCATGATATACGCACTACTGGAGCCATACACGCAGGTAACAACTATTCACATAAGGATTGGTTGTTGTTGAAGAAGATTTGAGTAATAAAGAATGATTGGATTTTTAATAATTAGTTGACTTGGATTCAAAAAAGAGAGGTGGGAATAAAGGACCAATAGATGAAGAAGCATAAGGGGGAGAATCACCTCCAACAAACAAATTTGTACAGGCATTACGAACCAGCTGAAGCATTGCAGAAGGGTAGGCTATACGTTCACAACACAGCATTCTGGTCAACATTATTATGCTTAGGTACTGGAGAGAATCAGAGCATGCTTCAATTCACTGCCAAATGAATGAAAAAAACAAACATTATTGTCTTGCAAATTGAACTCAAAATCAACCTTTATGGTGGAGCATGAAATGCAGATCTATTCTATAGCTTTGACTTCTTTAGAGCTAAAATAGCTCTTTTTTGAGCTCTTTTTTCTTCAAATCTCACTACCATCTAGTTTTCAATCACTAGTTACCATTCTTTAACATCTAGAGAGGGTAGGTAAATTTCATGTAAAGCTACAGGAAACTCATTAGCCATTACAGATCATCAAATTTATGAGGATCCAACTATAGGTCAAGGTATAAAGCATCAGCCCCAACCAACAATCTATGATTATATGAGGTATATGATTGTCAAAATCCCGGTGTTCAGTAGCTCCTACTGCAATTACAAGAATGATTACAGAACACAGAAGTTGAAATGTTGAGACGGACAAAATTTAAACAGAGCAATCTGATATGTTTAAACAGAGTTTCAACAGACTGACTGGAAAAACATGTAGTGTAGCAAACTCAAAAAAAATTTGAGACAAAACCTTAGCCAAACAAGTAAAATCCGAGAGGGGGGGGAGGGGGGGGCACTATCTCATTAATTACTATGGCAACTTCTCAGCTAGCCTGAACAAAACCCAAGTGCCATCACCAACAAATTTAGACAAACAAGAATCCAAGAATGAATTTTAACCAATCCAAATAACTTGCTCACAGACACTCAAAAGGATAATGTATCCTATGACCTCTATCTTGGGAAATATCGATACTACTAGCAGAATCTGTTCTATATTACTTCATAGACCCTCAAAAGGTTGAAAACTACACTAGAAAAGAGATTAGTGTTTACAAAGTAGTCGATATGAAGTATTACGGTAAAGAGGTGATGGAAGTCTTGAGCTTCGAGCATTGAACTAAAATGCCAAGTATAATAGACTAGCACGCACATAGAAAAGCAAGAACCTCATTGAAAGCTTTGTTTCCTCTTCGAATTCCATCCAAATTCAATGAATCTTTACCATCCACATCCCAGCAATACTAACAAGATGACTGCTTGAATAAACAAGTTGAATTGAAGGTAGACCTGATCAAACGTCGGCCGGGCTGCTGATTTTTTCTGCCCAAATTGTCGGGCCGGGCCGGGAATCGGGCCAGAATATTGCTGCCCAAACCCATCCCAGTCGGGCCTACAGGGCCATTTCGGGACTGCTTGTCTAAAGTCATCAATTTTAATTATTTTTTGTAATATAATGGTTTGTTATAAAATTAATTTAAGATGCATTATAAAAAGTTGTATTGAAGGGAAAAGACAATATACTTGTTTAGATTTGGATTAGAAGCGTAAGTGAAGGCGTACATCTTACTAAACTCACAATATCCTCAAGCTTTATCCCCTTGAAAGTAACCTTATGTTTTTCCACATTTCCTACTTCCTAGCCTTGTTACATATAAAGTAACTGAATTTGACATCTCAACAATAGAACATTCATTGATTTGGTTAAGAAAAGTTAAGTGCCACAAAAAACTTAAGACTTGACTGAAGCCATAAGCAAAGGAGCTTGAGATCTTGACGACAGCAAGCTTTACACTCATTTTTCTGTAGGTTTCTTTCTTTCTAAATGTAACACCAAAATTTCTAAAGAACCATCTTCCAAACTTCAGGAAGCAAACCGTTCATCAACCTCCTTTTCCAAGCTACAAACTTATCCTCTGCCAAACAACATTGCACCTCATCACAGCAGCAGTAATAATAGGTACCAAAGCGAAAGAAGCCTAAATTGAGTAATTGCCGGCAATCAAATTAACGATATTCTGAAATTAAACCCTAGAATATGAAATGAATATTCGATGTTTACCTCAGAAGCCGCTTAAATGGAGGAGAGAGAGCTCAGAAGGCGCTTCAATGGAGAACTCAGAGTAGGCACCAATGGAGGGGAGAGAGAGACGCAGCGTTGTGTGGAAGATTGAGAAGGAGAAATGAAAGAAATGAAAACTTGAGAAGGAGAGTAAGGAAGACGGAGTGACGGCTAGTGTGGAGGAAGGAAAGAAATGAACGAGTTAGGCTGTTAGGGTTTATTTTTCATTTAAATGATTTAATCAATTAATCTGTATACCCCATATTTTTCGGGCCGGGCCAGACCTACTGGCCAAACCCATCCACAATTTTTCGGGTCTATTTTTCCTTGCCCAAACCCGGGCAAATTCCGGGCGAGGCCATACTTGATCAGGTCTAATTAAAGGGCATAATCACATAATCATGCAGAATGAATATTCAAATTACTTGACAAAATTAATAGATATCACCTAATTGATGATGCTTTCAAACACCCAAGAAAAAATAAACAATAATATACATATTCGCCTTTTTCCGGCAATTTTTAAGAACATTAAAACATGATCAGTGAGTAATAGGAGAAATGGAATAAAAATAATAATAACATAACTATTTCTACAAATAAAAAAAAATGTGGAGAGCAACTTCAAGTCGATGGAGAGAAGGTGAATACAGGAGCTTTTTTAAAATAAAACCTCTTTACAAATAAACTGCTCTTCTCCTTCATTTTTTTTTTTTTTTGGAAAAAAAATGATCGAAGACAGGCCCAGGTCAAGTCAAGGGTAAAAGTTTTGCCCGTTTGGTTGTGCCGGACATGGCGGACTAGGTCATGCTCAGCCCGAAAAATACTTGCTCAAAACCTGTAAAATTAGATCAAGTCTAATAGGATTTCAGGCCGGTCAAAAAAATTCATAATAACTAAAAAACTTATAAATGCATGTCCAAGCCTTGTAGGATAATAATAATATGAATAAAAAAAATTAAAAAAAGTTGGGCGGGTTGAAAAATTATGCCCAAAACCAGGCCACCCTAACATGATCAACTCTATTTTCAATTCATAAATGTGATTTTACTAATGCAATCATTCATAAGGTTGTTCAAAGGTCCAAAATCCAAATCGAACTAATCTAAATGGATTTGGACCTTAATTAATATATTTATAAAAATATAATACTCCCTCCGCCCCTTTTTATAGTTTCCATTTGGAATCTTGACACTATTTATAATGTGAGAGAATTTTCTAAATTACTCTTAATATATAAGACATAACATAGTCATGTTGGGTCTTATTTAATTCGTCTCGATGAATAGATTATTAATATTCAATTGTTAAATTTTGTACTAATAAGCAATTAACGATATTTGTGGTCAAAGTGTTGTATTGACAAACGTAAAAGTCCTAATGGGCACTGTAAAAGGGGGCAAATGGAGTATTATCATGAAACACTAAAAGAAAATCAATTCAAATCATGAATAAATTGGTATTAAATTGTACCACGTCTTTTACTTGTTTAAGGATGTACTTGTATTTTGCAACTATCTTTTGAATTTTTAACAACTATTACTCCATATTTCAAGTATGTGTGTGTGTGTTTAAATACAATGTTATGTTGTCATATGCCAAGTGCATCATTAACATGCATGGCAAATTAGTAGATTATTATTGGTTAGTTGGATAATGACAACCTATGCACTAACAAATGTCATGGATTTAAGTTATAAGTATGATAAATGGGAAATAAATTAGGATCTTTATTTACCAATTATACTCTTTAATCTTATTGGTCGTTGGTGTGAACATGTGTTAACAATTCGACAGATTGATTGATTATGCCAATCTAAATTAGTTTTGTCGCTCTATTATAAATTCATATATGTTTATTTCAAGTTCCAACTAATCTAACTAAAATTTACACTGGTTCTTGAAACATTCCAAAATTTCAGAATTTCACCTCTCATTATGATTTGAACTATCACATGTCATATGTGTTAATAATATGCATGTTTGGTATTATTAATATGAAGTATAATTACAACGATAAATATATTGAGTGCATGCTTTACCACGTGGCTTTAACCTTGATCTGTTATAGACAATTCTAGCTTAAAGTCGTGTATCGCATAGAATGGCATAAATAAACTTGATCAATCACACATGTATCACTAGGAACGACAATAGTGTCACTAGCATGTCATATTCATATAAGTTAAAATGCTTGTGACTTGAAACATGATAACTCCTAAAATGGGCTTGAGGGTTTAGTAGCATAAATTCATATATTTATTGCCTTTTTGACTATTGTAAAGTTTTTCTAATTGATGGGATGAAATTAGTGGAAAAAAAGAACAAAACTTGGGGGTTGCATTCTAATATTTGAGTCAAAGTTACCACTCCTTTTATCCTAACAAAGACTTAGTTTTACCTTATTAGTATGATTGATATGTTTGTTAATGTACGATTTTAATTATCATTTAAATGATCCAATCTCGCAATTATTTTGAAACGAAGGGAATATAAACACTTTTACTCAAGTACTTCCTCACACCATTCATAAAATTCCATTCATTGATCCAACTTCCAAATCAATTTTAAATCCATATCAAGGACATCCCAATTCCATTTCCAATTGAATTCAAAATCAAAGTTAAAGATGAACTTTAAAACCTCAAAAGCAAAGGGCAAAAACGACTTTAAACACAAAAAAACACATACGTGGCAACACCTAATTGGCAGAACCGACTTTTCCCCAATCTCACCGTTGTCACGCATATGAAATCATCATTGATATTTCTGCCACCCCTCACAACTCCACAAGCCCAAAGAGGGTCACCGATTCCTTCGCTACCTCCATAAAAACCTCCTTTATTTTCCGACCCCATCAAAATATATTCCAACCCAATAAATCAAATTAAATAAAAATAAAAAAAAAATTATAAAAAGAGAAAAGACTATCTACCTTCTCTTCGTCTCCGACTTCACTTCTACGCAGTCTTCTTCTCCCTCATTTTCTCTCTCCTCTTTTTCTTCTTCAGTTCTTCATCCAATCATCACCATGGTAACTTCATCAATCATCTTCCTTTGTTAATTTCGAGTTTTTAGGTTTTATTTTTGATCTGTAATTGAATTATTAGTTTAATTTTGCATCGATTTTTTAGTATTTTTTATGCTTTTGGATCTGCGTTTGGTTCTGTTTTCTACAATTAAGCTTATGATGTATTGGAATTCTTGCTGTTTGTATGATGGATTTGTTTTCTGGTATTTGATTTTGTGTTATTGAAGTATATTTTGAAGCTGGATTATTCCTGTAATTTTCATTTTTTTTTTCTTTCTTTTTCGATATGGTTTGTTTGAGCTTGGTGGATCATGTAATTATTGCCTTGTTAATTGATTGAAAAATGATTTATGATGATGCCTAATTTCAATGATTTAGCTTGTAGTTTATGCATGTTGCTTTATTTTCTTGCTTTTTTTTTAATGATTTAGCATAAAGTTGTTGCATGCTGCTATAGTTGTTGCTTAAGATAAGATTAACTTATGAAGTTGATTGTTTTTTCGCCAATTTTAAGATCAAATTGTGTGTGTGAGTTGGAGTTGAGGAATGATCAATTAGGGTTTGAGTTGAATCTAAGGAGCTGGTTTGGTTCTGTTAGTGGTGTCACGAAGAATCGAAATTAGGCATTGGATACTTCGATCGCACTTGTATATATTCGTTTTGGAAGTTATTCTTTCTTCATTCCATTTTCACCTTCTACTTTACTCCTTCCATTTGGTGCTTCCCCTATTTCGCTGCGTGCATGTTACACAGGGGGATGAATGTGATTCAAACATTTTAAAAAGTAGAGATGCTTTATTTATATTTATTTTTTAAAACAAAAAAAATTGATACTTATGTGATCCCACCATCATCAAATCACAGTATATCACAGCACAACATAAGTGCACCTGCAGCTCACACTCCTTTTTCCCAAATCCGCGATCTTGGTCCTACGACAACCATAGCCATCAAAACAAACAGGGCCATTCCAAGAGCAGGGTCCTACATGTGGTTAAATCTGATCCATGTGGCACTGTCTCTAGTCATGGAGGGCCTAGACTAGGTACTACTGTGGCCAAATTGGGCTTAATTCTTATTGAGGGTATGGGTAGGAGTGTAGGACCAAGTTTTTTTTAGAAAGGGGGGACTTATTGTTGGAATTGGAAATTTGGTTAGGCTCTTCCAATGCTAGGCTGTGAGATAGATGGTATAATGAGAGGGGCAGGCATCAGGCAAGAGAAAAGACATTGGGATCTAAGCAGAGAGACTAAGGGCTTTGTGGGCCGATGTCTGATGTAGGTAGGGGGTATAGGGCGTGGAGAATGGGGAAAGTAGTTAAGACATTACTTGGCCAGGGTATGTGCTTAGCAATTAATATAGTTCCTAGTATTGTTCTAAACAAACAAGTCAAACTATGTCTTGTTGTAATTTGGTTATTGGTTCACTGCTAGATGTTTGTGCCCCACATTTAAAAATGCATCTGAAAGACTGAAACTGATCTATACCCTGAATCCTTGAATCACTCCAGATAACTTATCAAATTTGGTAAAATCATGGAACCAACATTATGAATTTATAATTTGTATAATTGTATACACAGGAGGTATGGGAACACTTATATTGCAGGGAATAATGGTATAGACAGGATAATGAACGTATGTTTGTCTATGATGTTTGCTGTAGTCTTAGTTGATGTTACTGCTCCTATAGGATTTGGCTGTGTACATTTTAGGAGTTATTGGGACCTGAGAGTTTAAGGACCTAATGTAAGACAATAAATTTATATTTGACTATCTATGGTGTTGATGTATTACCCCATTGGATTATCTACAAGACATTGTATGGCTCATGTTAGCAACTATCTGTGTATATATGGACATCTACACTTGTCTTACAGGGCAGTTAAGCTGATATTTACTGCAGCCTGGTTAATTTTAGATTGACATCTGTAAAGTTGGCATAATTATTGAACTTTGAACAACTGATAGGCCAATGCAGCTTCTGGAATGGCTGTGCACGATGATTGCAAGCTGAGGTTTTTGGAGCTGAAAGCAAAGCGCAGTCACCGTTTCATTGTTTTTAAGATCGAGGAGAAGCAAAAGGAAGTAATTGTTGAGAAGGTGGGAGAGCCAACTGAAAGCTATGAAGAATTCAGTGCGGCTCTTCCTGCTGATGAATGCCGCTATGCTGTGTATGATTTTGATTTCGTAACAGAGGAGAATTGCCAGAAAAGCAAGATCTTTTTTATTGCATGGTAATATAGCTGCTAGAATCTGCTTTCTATTTCACCTTAGGCTTGGCAAACATATTTTGAGACTTCTCTCTGTGTCCAATGCAGGTCTCCTGACACAGCAAGGGTGAGGAGCAAGATGATTTATGCAAGTTCAAAGGATAGATTCAAGAGAGAGTTGGATGGCATTCAGGTGGAGCTGCAGGCAACTGATCCCACTGAGATGGGCCTTGATGTTTTCAATAGCCGAGCTCGCTAAGTTCAACAGGCTAGTTATGCAGATGCTTTTTTTTTTCCATGCGCACTCTTTTTAACTTGAAAAGGAAGTGACGTTAATAGTTTGTTGATGGTGGATGCTGGATGTTATATATTAAGTTGTCCCAAGTTTGACCTTGAGATCTTGTGCCTATATAGGTGACATTCACATTTATATTGTTGGTGATAATTCAATTTGTCGAATGATTTCTGGTATAGTGTGGTTCAATATGCTTAGTATGTATAATTTGTGGGGGTGTGCAGCACATTTTGCGCTGTCATTTGAAATGAAGGTTACTGAATTTGGCTGTAGTTCTTGGTGTCATGGTTATTCTTCAATGAACGATGAGCTTAGATCTCATGTTACTTTGGATACTCATTGTCTCATCTTTTTATCACGCCAAACTGCATTTTATGTCCTTTTTTAACCTCCATGAATTCTTGGGAGAGGTTGCAGTGATGCCAGGCAGTGATGTAAACTGGTGTTTATCTGGGTGAATGATTATTATGTGTCTTTCGGTCGGTGTTGGCTGTGGGGTATTTATCTTCAATATTAGTCCTTGTAACTTTGCAAGAATCCTCAGATTTCTCCAAATGTAGCTATTCCATAAACATTTGAATGGTTAATGGCAGAAGGTTTTGGGTTAAGAAATTATTTTCCCTGGTGAGGTCGAGCTAAACATTTACTCTGTAACAATGGTTAATGGCAGAAGGTTTTGGGTTAAGAAATTAGTCCTTACTGCTAAGACAGACTATTGGTACTTCCATGGATCAAACTGGGTATGCAATCTATTCTTGCTAGCCTAGTCCATGTAAACGTCACCGTTTTATGCCTTTCAACTCTTCTTTTTTTCTTTCCTTTCCAATCTAAAACTCTATCAACATGATAATAAACAAAAAAAACATTTATCTAGCGGCATATCTGTAAATAAATCAACAAAATATCTCAATTGGCATGAAATTTTCGCAAATGATCAACATTAATAGAACTAGGGTTGTTCACATTAGGTTAACCGTTAAGCCTTAATAATACGGTTAACCGTTAGACCGGTTACTTAAAAAAATGGAACCGTAACCGTACTGTTAAGGAACGGTTAACCATTTCTTAGTAGTGTGGTTACCGGTTAACCGCTAACCAATAAATAATTATAATCAATACTTTCGTTGCCCATCCAAGAGTTTCAACTCTAATACAAATTTTGATATAAACAAGAATAAGCTCCAATAAGTTGATTACAAATCCATAAAGATTATTTTAGGGTTAACTTACTTAATTATACTTCACTTTTCCTAAAAAAAATATATAAAAACATATATTTTTATTTGGTTAACCGTTTACTCAAAAGTGTAACCATAACAATTAACCGCTATATTTAACGGTTCGGTCAATCTAACCGTTTATTTTTAACGGTACAGTTAATTAACCTATAAATTGAGTCGGTTATAGCGGTTAACGGTTACGATTTTTTTTGCACATTCTTAAATAGAACCCACATTCGATATAAAATAATTGATTTATTTACGAAAATGTTAATAGATGAACAATTTTTTTAATTATCATGATGAAACTTGTAATTCCCCCTTAAACTATAAGGTCTTCTCACTATCTCATCGGTGAGATGGAATTTGCTCGCATTCTATCTATGCATGCTATTTGAGTATCAAGTGATTGTAATTATTGATTCATCCTTCAATCAATATACGGAGAAGAAAATATGGAGATGGAATTGTCGTCTACTAAATTAAGTTATATATGCCAAAGGGTATTTTATGCTCGTTTAACTAAAAAAAAATTATCATTAGGTACACTCATATGTATATAAAAGATGTTAGTCATCTACTAGTGCATGGGAGTATGAACTCTATTATCAAACATTGACCTCTCTTGTGAGAGATTTTGTTTTAATATAAGGCCTGTTGTTTTATCCAAAATAAAACAACAATCTTTCCATTTTTCCTTGTTATTACTTTAAACTTATTCAAGTATAAAAATGTAATATTATAATTTAACATTGTCTCATTAGTTCAAAAAATTTGAATACACCTATAATTAAAGCAACTCATATAAAACAATGTTTTTAGTTGAATGCTTAAGGAAAATAAACATCGCATACTGTCCTATTAAAAGTTTCAAAACCGACACACATGTTGTAACTTTTTCCATACAATCAAAACTAAAACATGTTGCAACCGGTTCCTGGTATATGAATTAAAACCATTGTGATTTCGTATCATTAATTGAGTAGAATAACTTGTTGGCGTTGTTGCCAATTCATTAAAAATATTACTTTCGTTTACAATGTTTTAGTTGAATGCTTACGGAAAATAAGTTTCAAAACTAAAACACATGTAACTTTTTTCCTTAAAATCAAAACTAAAACATGTTGCTACTAGTTCCTAATATATGAATTGAAACCATTATGATTTCCTATCATTAAATGAGTTGATTAACCTGTTGCCAATTCATTAAAAAATAATACTTCATTCATTTTTTTTTTGTTGGTATTTATTTTAAAAAAATTGTATTTCTATATGTTTGTTCGCACTTAAGTTTAACAATTAATATATCTAATCATCAATAAGTAAATTAAAACAAACAAAAGCGATTTTATGAATGTCAATAGGTAAATAGTGTTAGAAGTCAATATCTATCAACTAAAACAAGGAATGGAAGATTAGGGCTTCAATATCAATTTTGTATGTATCTTTCTAGTCTGATCGCAGGATTCATCTACCTCTAACTGATCCACTCCAAAACCACACAATTTTATAGTAATTTGGGTTTTTCCAAAAATTTTATATCTTCATACCCAATTCTCTATCCTATGCTCACTACTAAAATCTTCCCTCTTCTCATCTCTCTTTCTCCTAAATTCCTAGAAATTAAATTAAAATTTCTTTTTCTTCAACCTTCAAAAGATTTGAAGCTTTGTTAATGGAAGTTCCGAAATGAAGTGGGGTTGAAGACAACGGTTTCAATGAAGAGAAGGTAGTTGAGACAGTGGAGAAGATCATTCTCCTTTGGAATTCCACTATTCAAATCGTCAAGGCTAGGTTGGAGGATGGGTTTTTCACATTCTTTTGATTTTCTTTTAGTTGATATGCTAAATTCGTCTTTAAGCTTTTTATATAGCTGGTGTAGTTAAGTTAAAATTATTTATGATGTTTTGAACCAGTTAAATTTAATCAATGTCTAAGTTTGTATGTCATTGTAAATTTGATATGGAGTACTTATTTTAAACCCTTTATGTTAAAAAATATAAACATACGTTATTATGTTACAAGCCTAAAAACTAGTGGAGTACTTATAAAAAATGGTGCAAATCAATTTGAAGGGTTTAAGTTCAAAAAATTTAATCCAAAATCAATTAAATAATGGGGCGCCACATCCTTCCCGCTTAACTTTCAAGCAAATTAAAATTAAGAGCCCAAAGCCATGTCATCAATCCAAAGGAAACCTAGATAACTAATCAAAACATCGCCACGTCCTTCAAACTTCTGAACACGCACAGCATCTTCTTCTTAACTTCCTTTTAATTTCATCCGTTAGATCAATAATCACAACAAAACAAAATCAAAGCATTTACAAAAGCCACATCAGCGATCCGTGCCTTCCCTCATCCTCCAATAAGATCAAACCTTTATTCCCTATAAATACAGATCTCAAACAATTTCTTTATCTCACCGCAAATACCTCTCCTTCTCTCTCTAAATTACAAATCAAAACTTCGAACCCCCAAAAAAACTCCCAAGTTTTCTCTCTCATCTCATCAATGGCGCCCAAAGCAGAGAAGAAACCAGCCGAGAAGAAGCCCGCAGAGGAGAAGAAGGCCGCCGCCGCCGAGAAAGCTCCGGCGGAGAAGAAGCCAAAAGCCGGGAAAAAGCTCCCGAAGGAGGCCGGAGCAGCCGCCGGAGATAAGAAGAAGAAGCGTCACAAGAAGAGCGTCGAAACCTACAAGATCTACATCTTCAAGGTTCTCAAGCAGGTTCACCCTGACATCGGAATTTCCAGTAAGGCAATGAGTATCATGAACAGTTTCATCAATGATATCTTCGAGAAGCTTGCTCAGGAATCTGCTAGACTCGCTCGTTACAACAAGAAGCCGACGATTACTTCTCGGGAGATTCAGACTGCTGTCAGGCTTGTTCTTCCTGGTGAATTGGCTAAGCATGCTGTTTCTGAGGGTACCAAGGCTGTTACTAAGTTTACCAGCTCTTAAATTAGGGTTTAATGGTGTTTTTGTTGATTTTGGGTTGGTAGGGTAGGAATTAGGGTTTGGTTGTTGAAATTTGGTTAAATGTGGAACTGGATTATGGTGGTATTATGTCTTTTGAATAGACTTGGTTATGATGTATCTACTCTTACAAATTAATGGAAATGCTTTTGTGAAATCTGTGTGTTATTTGTTTTTTTGTTGTTGTTTGTGTTTAAATTTCAAGCATTACTCCGTACTTTTTATTTGAATTGTCTGAAATTGTTTTGAGATTATTCTGCAATTCCCTTGTTAAGTATTTTATCTGTTAAATTGGTGAATTTTTCTGGTGATAATTTTTTACGAATTTAAGTTTGAAGTGTTATATATTCTGTGTTGATAACCATGTTTTTCTTTTGAACCTTAACTGTTATATGTATATGAATGAAATTCAAATTAATTTCTGCAGCTCTTTGAATGTATTTGGAACTGTTGATAAGCGCTGAACTTTAAAAATAATTTGAAATTCTGATTTTTTTAGAAGTTTATGTCAATACTCCGATTGTTGATGATGATGGTCTTCTAAATGTGTTGTTTTGTTGATATTGACTAGTTACTCATCTTTTTTGACAAAATTGTTTGTGTGTTATCCCCTGTAATTTAAGCTTAGTACAGTTTTGAATAGTTGGGAAATCTTAGATTGTTGTTTGCATATGGTGAATGCTCAGAACCTAGTCATTCAGCTTATTGGTTAATTTGTGCTTCGTTACACTCTGAAAGTTCATGATAATGCTCAGTGGCTGATTCTAGCTCTTTGGCTAATCTTTTTGTTCAGTTTCTCTTGCTATTTGTTACTCTGTATAAGGATGTGTTATGTGAATGCATTCACTGCTAGTAACACTAAGGCGGACTGTACTCAACAGTGGGGTTTAGTGGGCAATTAGAGTCGTTAGCTGGTTGCTGTCATTGTTTAAATGGAGGTTTAAACTTTGATTTCTTGGTATATATCTACCCTGTGATCTTCATTATATGTTATTCCCTTCAATCTTTCATGGGGTATGAGTGAATCAGTTTAAGTGTGTGACTGATGCACTCAAATGATAAATTTAGGATTCTGATATAGGCATTGATGTTGTCATGGGAAAAAGAAAGCTAGACTTCAGCCCTTCCTCAACCTTAGCTTAATTTTCGGGTTATGATGAATTGGTTTATCCAACCTTAACGGGTGAATAAGCCTAAAACAAGTGTTGGTAATAAGGTGAGACCTTAGGGGATATATCATCGAGTGTCATGCAGGAAGAAACAATGGAGTGTAACAGTAGAATCATTATAGGAGTTCTGTGATCCTGAACCAAACCACTTTTATATGAATAATGGGAATACAGGCAAGGGCTGAAGAGTATCTACTTGAGGAAGAAAAAATAAATGAGAATTATCCTTGGAGAAATGACGTAGGTTGGATTGGAGGATTATTTTGGGAATTGTAAAGGTTGCAAGTGAGAAATCGCTTGCTTGAAGTTAGTTGAAATTTCTTAGTTATGATGGAAGTGGGATAGAGGGAGGGCAGTAGATGGATGCTGAGCTACTATCAGTGTTTAGTCGGATGGTTGATATGCATTTTAATGTTTTCTGAAAAATAGTTATGGCATATATAAGTTCTTTATTTTGAAAACTTGGGGAATTAGATGTATAATGGACATTTACAGTGTGAGAGGAAAGTTCATTTTCCAGCACAAAGCAATACATTTTTCTTCATAGGGGCTTTCTGGTAGGATTTTGTGCTTATGCGCGAAAGTCTGAAAGGTCATGAATTAGTTTTGGCCTTTTGGGGTTCTTAAGTGCCTTCTTATTTCAAGAATTTACAAAGCTTCTACACCATTCATTTTTAACCTTGAAGCTGTCATTGTGAAGGATATGGGTGATCCGGCGATGCTTGTTCAAACATGCACCTTTGGTTTTGAAATTGGATATCAAAGATTGCGTGGTAGTGTACTTGAGTGTGGAATTCCACTAACTGGTTGCTTGATTCTGATACTACTATTTTATACAGTAGGACATTTGAATTCTAGACATCATGCTTTTGATGGTAGAGTTGCTGTTGTAATTGTTTAAGGGAGAATGAAGGTTGGGAACCTGGGAAAAAGCCAAAGTTCCACTTTGGTTATGTAGAAAAGTTGGATCTAACAACATTTTGGCGAGTCCTGAGTTTTGACAATGGGCTTGATGAATATAGAAAGAACAGAAGAAACAGATAATATCAGAGCAGGATCAGCTAACAACAACCGAAATAGGCTAGAGCAAGATGGTTACAAGGAGGGAAGTGAACTTTGCTTTTCTAACAGATTAACGGAAGAGCTGCCAGGATTTATTATCGGTACAATTGTTGATGCTTGAGTTGTGGGATGAATTCAAAGAACTTGAAGAAAGAAACTTCAAGTACCAAGTTTTTAAATTTTTTTTTTATATGTAAATTCTGCAAAAGAGTTTATAATGGCAGAGGTTTGCTTCTGATATGGTTTCATTTGTTGGTCTGAAGACAAAGGAGTTTGGAAAGCCTTTTTTTGTTGAAAATTTTGAATGTAGTAAGAAGTACGACACGATACACCGGGGGCATGGTGTTGCTCCATCCATGTTTTGAATTACCACTCCATCCATGTTTGTGAAGTGTTGCTCAACATGATGCATATTTCGGGTCATATCGGGTTCGGGTCAACATTTTTCTGGGTTCAAACAGGTCGGTTAATAATTGGGTTCGGGTCGGCATTTCAGATCGGGTCAGTTTTTGACAGCTCTACCCATTCTCCAAAATATTACTAATTTGACAGAACTTGATTTGAAGTAATAAAATGTCCGATTTACCTTGTGTTTCAAAAAAAAAAAAAAAAAAAAAAAAACACTCATTTAGATTTCTAATAAAAAGAGGTTTGTATTTTTTTTTTTTTTTGACGATGATTTAATCTAGATTAAAATTCATTTATAATGCTCACAAAACCCCTTTAAGCCTTAATCTAATTTTTTATTCATTATATCTTCAACCACATCTCACAAAAAGAAATTTGGAACAAAACTGACACAGAAAAAGAGAGTAGTGACTCAAGCATAAACCATCCCATAGGTTTTCTGAAGCAGATTCAAGGATAAGAGATCAAGGGATCTGAATTAAGGTCGGTGACAAAGTAAAAATGGCGGATTACCATTTCGTGTACAAGGACGTTGAAGGAACTTCTACACAGTGGGACGACATCCAGCGGAAGCTCGGAAACCTCCCTGAAAAACCGCCGGCGTTCAAACCGCCTCCATTTGTTCCGGCGGAAGACGAGGATTCTAAACCTAAAGACAAATCATGGATCGATTCAAAAACCCATGATGAGCTCGAAGATCTCGAGGATGATCTCGACGATGATCGATTCCTTGAAGAATACAGGTTTCTTACTTCAATTTCGATTTCGATTTCAATTTTTAGGGTTTTACTTTTGATTTATTACTGTTTATTAATGCAATGGTGGGAATTTTCAATTGTAGGAAGAAGAGGTTATCTGAGATCAGGGAAGCTGCTAAAGTTGCAAAATTCGGATCGATTATTCGAATTTCTGGGTCGGATTTTATCCGAGAGGTTTCTCAAGCTTCCCCGGAAATTTGGGTTGTTGTTATTCTCTATAAAGAAGGGTGAGTTTTTAATAAAGGAATGCTTTTTTGCTGTATGACATTGCTTGAAGATTAAATTGTGCACTTTGAAGTGATGTTCATATAATATCCTTTGATAGCATTTGAATGATTAATTGATTGATTGAATGATAGCTTATGGCCTATATGAATATCATGTATATCATTAAGTCACTGTTTTGCTCTAATCATGAAGTTATGATTGATGTATCCAAATTGACGGTGCCACTTGCAAAGAAAGGCTTGTTTTTGGTGCTGTTCTGGACATATTTACTAACAATTCTGCATAATTGGCCAATGCATAGTCTTATCAGACATCAGTAGCATGTCGTGTTATAATTGTTCAAGTAGTTTTTAGGCCCAGGCGATGCCCCGAGTTAATGCAGTATTTCCATGATAGAAATCCTTATTAATATTTAATTTTGATTGAATGGCAAGTAATATGGTAATAGATTAGTGGCTAACATGTTAGAATTTAAGCTTACGGTTGTGAAAAACTATGAGGAGAGCACCATGTGGCACCTAAACTTGTTTAGGAACGCCTTTTAATATATAGTATAGATAGCTGGTTGCTAATATTATGAATTCGGTTTTGTGTCGTATATCTGAGTTTCAAATTTCATTACACTGGCAGCTTTGCAGCATGTGAGATGTTAATGGGATGTTTGGAAGAGCTAGCAAGGAGATATCCAGCAACAAAGTTTGTCAAGATAATATCTACGGATTGTATTCCTAACTATCCTGATTGTAATTTACCCACACTGTTGGTATACAATAATGGTGCTGTCAAAGCAAACTATGTGGGATTGAGCAATTTTGGAAGGCGATGCACACCTGAAGGTATACTCTTCTTTATGAATTCTTTTTGTTGATGTTTTTGCTTTAATGGCACTATGTTGTTAGTTTTTGAAAGGTGGCTGTAGAAATATTGAATGCTTGGTTATTTTCTTATGAGCAGCAACAATTAAATGGCAACTGGCAAGTGGTCTATGTTAATGAAAGGCAGATTTCTGTTTTTATTGTTTATGACTGATTTCTATTTTTGTACTTTAGGTGTCGCACTTGTTCTCTGTCATTCGGATCCCGTGCTTAATGATGGTCAGTCTAGCAGTGATTCATCCAGGAGATCTGTTCTCGACGGGGAGAGTAAGAGGCTCATTGAAAAGTTTGTTGCAGAGCGTGAAAATGCAGAGGATGATGGTGCTTCAAGTGATTAACTGGTCTAGGGTCTAAATTAGCGAAGTTTTTGAATTTGGACTCTTCTTTTTAAGGTGTTTTTTTTTTTTTTTTTTTTTTTTTTTTTTTTGAATTTGGACTGAGGGTCTTTGATTATGGGAATGAAGTACTCTATTTGAGTTATGACGGTTCCAGCAGATTCCCAAAATTGAAACTATGTGAAAAAATGCTTTATGTGTTAGATTTTAGAGCAGCTCAACATCACTTTGCTTACATATTGTAATCCAGCCTACTTATGTAGATTGTTTTGTGCTGTATTTTTTTTCACAAAAATTGCACTGGTTCTTCTTATCTCTTATAGTACTTGTATAAACTTTTTGGCGTTTATTTTATTTCATTGAATTATGTTTCTCTCTTCTCCTCTTGTATATGCTTTACCTGAGGTGTTACATAAATTATATCTTGGGCTAAGTTTGATCACGATATACCCTTTATGTCCTTCTCCTTGTTAATCTTTGATTTCCTTTTCTTTACTTTGCTTCTATACATGTCTCCTAGTCTTATCTGTTGCTGTGATTTGTGAGTTTGAGCCACATTTGATGAAGTTAAAGTTCTATTGGAAGAAGCTGCTGCTCCTGAGGTTACATGCTGTAAAGTGTAAATAGGCCAATTGTTATGGACATGTCACTGCAGGGTTAGTTGGGCAGAATTCAAGCTAATCATCCAAAGTTAAATTACAAAATGTCTACGGAGATTGGAGGACTTGGCAAGGGTCCACTTTAAAGGTAAGAGCTTCCATCGCCTGAAGATTTAAATTAATGTTTTTTTGTATCCTGAAGGGATTGATAAAGTCATATATCTCCTAATCAGAGTAGTCACTCTGAAGTCAGACTTATAAACATAGGTTCATTGTTTAATATATGCGATTCATAACTTGGTTTAGTTGTTGTTCTTCTTCTTCTTGTTGTTGCTGATATATTTAGTATAAGATGATATTGCCATTTCTATAATATTCCTTAAAGGTTGAAATTGCAATCTTCTTGAAATCTTCCATCCTTCCCTGGGTTCTAACTTCTAAGATTTTGGGTTAATGGACTGTTTATTAATCTTCAGTCTGACTGACTTCTCATTTTGGCTAGAGTACTGAAATGGATAATGACTGATGAAACCTGAAATGTTGAAGTCAAGAAGGGGCATTAATGTCATTTGGATTTTAAACGTGCTGGAAATAAGGCTTGGTATATGAGTGTCAAATCTGCTGGTATAGAATAAGAGTTAAGCTGTGGAACAGTCATTAATAATTAAGACTGATAGATGGTATCAAGAGATGACATGGAAGAATATCTAACCTTGTGTTGAGTTGGAGAATGAATTTAATGCAATGTACCCTTTAAGTTTCTGATGTGGTGAATTAACAGGCCATTACATCGAAAATCTTAGTTGTTTTTGAGTTTGATTGGTCCTTTAAGATGCTAGCATCGTATGATCGTAGTATACTTGCCTATTGTATGGGTATCTTCTCATGCATTGATTCATATTAATGTAACATTCTTTGTTTACTCAGCTGTTATTCATGAACAACTTTGAGATGGTGTTGGCATTTGCTCATGTAAATGGCTGACTGGCATTGATATTGAGGTCTTCAGACAGCAGCTGAAAACCAGAAATGAAAGACATTTTGGTCTACTGCCTGCCTTTGTAGTGTTTCATTATTGTCTCCAGGTATATTGTTGCATTTTGGATTCTCAATGTTTTGTTGTAACTACTAGCTTGCCTGCTACACTGAAGATTTTTGCTTAACTTTTCTGGGATGACTTTTGCCGTAAATGGCTGACTGTTAAAGATACTGCTACTTATTGGTCATACATTTTAAGTAGCTGTCCTCTAATTTTTTTTTTTTTGTACTAATGACTTTTTCTGAATTAGATCTATATTTAAAAATAGAATAAAAAATATGCTGAATGATGTAATATAGATTTTTAATCATACCCTTATAAGCAAATCAGATCCAATAATAGTACTCTTCATATCTCCAAATGGCAATATTAGTTGTTGGCAAGTTGCCTAGTCAATTGACAATTTACTCCACTTTCTCCCTCTAACCTCACATGTTTCATAAAAAAAATAAGTCAATGTTATGTAATGCTTGAGGTGAGGTTATCCATTACCATATATCAATAACTACACAGAACTAGTCAATGTCAGAGGAGTTCTTAGGACCTCTGAGGTGCTCTCTCTCCACCCCCCTAGTGCTTATGCAAAAGCCTCATATGCTCATTCTCCCTTTTAACTCATTGATTAATAGAATTCCTGATTTCTCAATGTCATTTTCATTGTTCTTATGCTTGATTTATCATCAAATAGCAGTTTATGGTCGATCACTCTGCCGTGTTGGACTGTGGTCAGGATTGTTGGTTTTGCTGGCAGCTGTGGCTATATTGTCCCCTGAGTTTGCCTTTTTATGGGCTTCCCATAGATGTGGGGTCCTTGGTTATGTGAGAGTCCCACTGGATTTGCCTGGAACAAGTTTGTGTTTGCCTACTCATGTGGTCAAAGGGCCTTCTTATCATGTTTATATCCCAGTTATATTGGCTCCAGTCATTGTGACTTGTTCTGGTTTGGTGCTTTCATCATGTGGCTTGTCCTACATCTAACTACAAGCCTTGTGTGGATTTGTCATGTTATCTATGTGAGTGAGAGCCAACAATGATCAAAAGGGATGTTTTTGTGTGTGTTGGGGGGGGGGGTAGGAGGGAGAATTTTCAGACATCATTTTAAATATTAATTTTGGGCACATCTATCATTGCCCGAAACAATGTTTTTCAATGTGTTGATGTATTCTGACTAAGAGATGATTTTGTTTCTACCGTGTTTGATGGATGTAAAAGTGATGTTTAATACTTCTTTTTACATCGTTCATTTGATTCACCAAAATTATCTTATCTTAATGCAATAAAAAGTACTAGGGGAGAGAGGGGGAACAAGTAATACGGAGTACTAATACCTTGTCTTGCCCAAACGAGGTTGGCTATGTGTTATAGGCTCTAATCTTGGCTTTATCTTGTGGATTGTCTAATCGCTGTTTGCTGAAGGATCCCCCTTTGACATGAAAGTGTAGCTTTATGACCATGACACATGCATATTTCATACTTTCTCCGTTTTTTATTTGATGCATCACTTTCCATTTATGGAAGTTTCAATTTAGATGCATCACTTTCCTTTTTAATCAATAAATTCTCTCTATCTCTCTCATATCACATGGGCCCTCTCTACTTTTTCTCTCTATCTCTCTCTACTCCAAAAACTGCCTAGGAGTCCGCAATTTCTAAAATGATGCATGCAATAAAAAACGGAGGAAGTATTAATATTTCGGAACAAGGTTTCTGTTTGCAGCGATTGATGAGATAAAATGTTGAAACTTAATTTGTTAGTGTGAGTAGGTCTGTTGTGGGAGTTTAAGTTGTGCTTTGATGAATTGATACATGATTGATAGATGATGGATAATAGAAATTGGTTATTGAAGGTGAGATAACGTGGAAAAGGTGAGTGACTCTCGTTGCTCTTTTGTGATCATGCAGACTGATGAAGAGCAGCACGGAGATAAACTGCTGTATGAAGTTGCCTCCAAAAGGTTTCCAGATTATGTAAGATACACCATCAAATATATATAATCCCCTCTTTCAAAATCATGACTCATTTATCAGATGTCATGTCCTAAGCAAATTCTGCGAAATTTGAAAAAAAAAAACTCATTTTCTTTGATTATCTTTTGAAAAAAACAGTCTGTGAACCCAAATATTATATGATGCTGTAGAACATTTGTATTGCAGAGATGCAATGATAAAATGATTTGAAGCTCTAAGGGAATGGAATGTCGGATGCAATTGGCAACAATGGGGTATATTGAGGCCTCAAAAGGTGGATCAATTCAGTCCCAGAATCTGGGCAAGAAATTCTCCTGCATACATTTCTTCTTATTCCCAGATAAGACTAATTCTTTTTATGATAAGCTGAATATTTTACTGGAGTAGATGATTGGATCATACTCTTATTCTGACATACTAGTTGGGTAACCACCAGACAGTTGAATCTTTCTATATGTCTATCTTAATCTCTTGTGCAATCTCTTTTTACCTACTATATTTAATATAATTAATGGCCTATAATGCTTGAGGTGAGGTTATCCATTACCATTACTAAACAGAAACAGTCAATGTTAGAAATGTAATGGTGTGCCCTCCTCTTCTTTATTGATTAATAATTTTTATTACTTTCTCGTTCTTCCCCTTAACAAACTAATAAGTAGAATCCTTGAATTCATATTACATTTGTTATTATCAATCAAGATGTCCCTCTCATTAGCCTTGAGCTCATTTTATCATCAATTAGCAACTTACAGTCGAACGCTCTACCGTGCAGGGATGTGGACGGGTGTGTTGGTCATGGTGGCAGCGGTGGCTGCATTCTTCCCTGAGCTTGCCTTCTTATGGGCATCCCGTGGATGCGAGGTTCATGGCTACGTGAAGATTCCTCTGGATTTGCCCGGAAAGAGTATGTGCTTGCCTTCCCATATGGTCAAGGGAACTTCGTTGGATGCTTTCGTCCCACTCATATTTGCTCCCATTGTTGTGGTTTGTTCTGGTTTTGTTCTAAAATCCTTCGGCTTGTCCTACAACCAACAATCAGATAGGATCATTTAGAGAGAAATAGATTAAGATGTTTGGGAAGATGTATCATTACTTTTAAGGTCTGATTTTAGATGTGTAATTATCTGTACTGCTTTTTTGTTAGCTTTGATTACTTGATTCTGTTAATAGTTGAGTTGACTTTGCTATCAATGCACACCAAAATTCAATAAATCATGCACCTCATTGTACTCCTTGCTAGTTACTATAAGCCTGTAATTGTATAGCCGAACGGTTTCCTCTACTACCAATATCGATTAATGTCTATCATACACCTACTCCTTTCGTCGTGTGATTATTTCCACATATTTTGATAAAAAGCTACTGCATAGAATAAAAGAAAGCGGAGAGAGTAATTTAAAAATCTACTCCGATTCATAGAAAAATACAGTAGTAATCACCAAGAGTATTTCAGAAAAACAAAAATTATAAAATGGCGTCGCCCGGACTCGAACCGGAGACCTTCAGTGTGTTAGACTGACGTGATAACCAACTACACCACGACACCATTTCTGTGCTATTTTTTTTGCAAAATCAAAATTCTTTAATAAATTTATCAAATCAATTAAAATATCTCCACTGAATATTCCGAGTCATACAAACACAGCGTTATTTACTTATTTTCCTCTATCATCTTCCCACTCTCTCTCTCTTCTCTCTCTCATCCTCCTTTTGAGCCAACCCTAGATCTCTGTTTTTCCCCAATTTTCTTCCTTCTTCAATTTTCTCTCTCCTCCTCTTCTTCTTCTTCTTCTTCATCATCACATCTTTCAATGGCAATGGAAAATCGGTTAAACATGTCCCTCGACGATCTCATCAAGATCAACAAATCTTCTTCTGGCCGCGGCGGCGGCGGCGGTGGCGGTAGAGGCAGAGGTGGCGGCGGCGGTAGAGGTCATTCCGGCACCGGACCTTCTCGAAGATTCAATAATCGCGTCGCCAATCGTTCCACCCCGTATTCTATGCCTATGTCCAAGGTTTTCATCTTTTCTCTCTCTTAGGGTTTTCGTTTTTTTTTGCCGTTTAAGTCTCACAATTTTTGTTTGTTTGTTTATTTTTCGAATTTTTGATTGAGTAGTTTGTAATTTGGTTTTATTTATCTCAGGCGCCTGATTCTTTTTGGCAGCATGATATGTTTGGTAATCAAGGTGGTACTGGTGTTGGTGGTGGTGGTGGTGGAGCGTCTTCAATTGAGACTGGAACTAAGCTTTACATCTCTAATTTGGATTACGGTGTTTCTAATGACGATATCAAGGTATTAATTTTTCGCCAATTTCTCCCCTATATTGTTTCTATTGAGGAATTTTAGGCAGTATTGATGTTCGTTTAGTGTTAAATTTATGGTTAGCTTGAAACTTTAATTATATACTTCGTATCATGTATTAGAGCTGATTATTGATTAAGTATGTTTTAAAAAGGTGGATGTTCGTGTGAACTGTTTTTGTTTGTGGGGGTGGGGCTAAAGAGTATGTAAACATCAAGATTTATTTGAGAATTTTCAATGTGGCTAATTAATCGTTTGAATTCATGTAATGTTTTTTTTTTTTTTCCTTAAACATATTTATCCAATTGCCAGTGCTGTGTGATGATTTGAATTGTCCAATAGTGGGGTTAAATAAACTAATTTTGAAAATATCATAAGTTTGTTATTGTAATATATTATGAACTGGTACGTATTATACTGGTACTTTGTTAATCCTATATATCTGGACAATTCATTTACAATATTTGGTTAGGATATAAGTTTTGCACTTTGTTTGGGTAAGAGGAAATGGAAGGAAGGGGATGGAAGTAAAAAGAAGGGGATCAATCTCCCTTATTTGGATAATGGATTGGGGGAGGAAGAGGGAGGTATCTATTTTCCCTCCCTCATTAATAACAACAATCCTTGGAGAGATTTGGAGGGAAAATGGAGCTCACCCCTTTCCCTTCCCTCTCTCCTCCCCTTCTTTGCTATCCAAACAAAGTGTTTTTCCTGGCTGTTTGTATTCTATCACACGTAGATTTTTTGATCATAGATAGAAGAAATTGATGGTGTTAATCCTAATGTTTTCTGGACTAAATGATAACAGGAGCTCTTTTCTGAGGTTGGTGACCTGAAACGTTATGCTGTTCATTACGATAGGAGTGGGAGATCGAAGGTATTAGGGCTTTCTGTTTCTCCTCTTTTCCAGGAATTTCGTGCGGATCTATACAGTAGATGTTTAGACTGGGTTTTATTTATCAGGGAACTGCTGAAGTTGTATTTTCACGGAGAGGAGATGGTCTGGCTGCTGTCAAGAGGTATAATAACGTAGAACTTGATGGTAAACCAATGAAAATCGAGATCGTGGGGACAAATGTTGCAGCTATGGGAGCTTTACCTCCAGTTTTTAATGGCGTTGGTAGGAATCCACCTGGTCCTAGAAGGTACTTGTTCTTATACTTTGATACTTTGTTCTTTTTTTTGGTATCTGAACAGTTAAAGATATTTCTCTTTATCTTGTCAGATCATGCACTTAATTGGATATGTGGGTGTAGCTATGCATTGTGTTATTTTTGTTGGTCTATATACTTCGTACTTTGTAACTCTTTGCTCTTCCTTGCTACCAGTCTGAATAATAAGTGTGACATAATGACTTCTTGGAATTTACTATACCTAGGTGGCTGGGACTTTTACAAACTGTATCTTGTCGCTTACTCTTTTTCTTTTGAACAGGGTTGGGGGGAGGATAATGTCCAATAATTGAGCTGTTTATCTTGTTTAATTCTGACATACTTGTGTCATCTGCAACTATTATAATCATGTATAATAATTAGGCTGACAATGAATCTGGATCTACAATTTGATGGTTTCAGTTAATTGCCTGGTCCCTAGGACTAAAATATCAAGTTGGTTTATTGACTGACTGGATGCTCTGTGAATGCTGCTATTTCCATTCTAATCTTTGTGACTATTTGAGACTTGAGGCTTATTAATCTTGATGTTGGGGAAGAAGATTGAAGTGGAATAATTAAGACTATAAGAGATTGTATTTATAGAACTGTTATGGTCATTGAATACCAAGCTGTTTGCAACTATACATATACATGTATAGTAAGTGTTGGTGATATTTTTTAATTTTTATTTGTGAGAAGAGTTAACCATGGTATAACTGGATAATATGCATAGTGCTATACCGCTATTTATGATAAATGTAGTGTCCTGCTGGATTTTCTCTCCCAAATGGTATTTTAGATGGAAACCTCAGACAAATATTATTTAAATACGTTCATTTTATAATTGGCAACGAACTAATGGGTTGGCTTGTAATGAAAACGGTATTGATATCACCTTTCCACTAAAGGTTAAATGAAACAATCATGGTATTGATAATTCGTTCATGTTTTAATGAATGGGTTATTTGATGTCATTTTGAATATCATCTTGTCATCTTTACATGCTCATTGTTATTACCATTATATTAATAAGAGATGGACAGCAGCAATTTAAAACTTGATTTGGAAGTTTATTTGCTATAGTGTGCTTATAATTTTGGTTAAAAATAAAATGAAAATGGAGGTAGTAGAAAATCATGGGGATTAGAACTTCCCTCATGGCAAACAAATTACCAGGTCCCCTGTTGGTTATGGAAACTTCAATTTCCTTTGAATTAAACCAAACAAGATTAAGTTCCTAGGAATTGCAATTGTGAAGTGATTCCCATAGGATTTTACTTCCCTTGTAAACCAAACAAGCCCTAGTTATGCTAGCATAATGAATTAATTACCATGAATTACCTTAAAGTTACTCCCGCCGACACTTTTTAATTTTTATGCTTTAACCATTTTTCTCTCGCAAAAAAGATTCCAATTGTAAAGATTTAAAAGTGACAGAAGGAGTAGATATCATCTCATCAACATACTACATGATTTGCTACTCAACGATCATCGAGATGATGTCGCATCTTTCGAAGAAGTTGATATATCTGTTATTGCCTGAATATATTGTGAGCTGTTTCTTGTTCTAGTTTTCTTATCTAATTGTCGGCAGCAATGATCTTCAGGGAATTTTCTGGTATCTAACATCTCAGTTACCTGTTATTGATAACGTTGTCATAATTCAGTTTTTTTAAATATTTTTTTTTCCAATCTCACAGTGGACAAGGAAGAGGTGGTGCAATGGGACGCATTCGTGGAGGCCGTGGTTCTGGTTCTGGTTCTGGCAGAGGCCGTGGCAGGGGAAGAGGCCGTGATGAAAAGGCATCAGTATCTGTAGATGACCTGGATGCCGACTTGGACAAGTATCACTCAGAAGCAATGCAGACCAACTAAGGCATAATATGGGTTTTTCTTTTGCCTTCTCTTGGGTCTAAAACCTATACTCTTGCAAGTTGCAACTGTGTCCTTGATGATCGTTTCAACTGTTTTGTTTAATTCTACCGACATCTTATTTTAGGCAAAGGCTGATAGAGGGCAGTAGTTGGATCATGGTATCAAAAGCTTGGGCTTTGTATCAGACTTCATATGGTTGGGGGTTGAATACCAATTAATGAACAGCTATTAGTATGTTTATTATTCAGATATAGATTTATTTGCACTTTCACTGTTTCATATATCTTGCAACGAAGTGGGATCTTTTTGGCTGTTCGAATACAATGTGGATAGACACCCTCAAGATCATGGAAGTTTGAATTTTTCTCATTCAGAGTGTCAGTATGCGGTCGATGAAGTTCTGGTTTTTTTTATCTTGGCATTTTGAGATTGGGCATGAGACTATGAGGTAGGTCTCTGTTTGCTCATTTGGCTATTTTAATTGTCTTTTGGTGCTTAAGCTAGTGTTTATGCAATTGACTTTTTTACTAGTGTTCAATTGTTATGTTTGTTACCTAGTTGGGTAAATCATTTTCTTAGCGGTTTGAAGGAACTTATTCAGATTAAATACCAGATCTTCTCTGGAGGATCTTGATAATTGCCAGGTTTTTTAGATGCCTGAAATCTGCTCTTGGGCTTTGAGTCTTCAGGAAAGTGAAGTTTGAAGAATCAAATTATGAAAATCTTATCTCAGCTGATTCTTGTTGCTTATAAATAGAGATGGAGCTGTGGTTAATTTATAATTTCTATGTTTGGTGTATATGTCAACATGCTGAAACCAGTTGATAATCTGCCTAAATGACATATCTTACCTGATTTACGTGGCCAGATGATTCGATTTGTTGTACATGGATTGTGTGTACTAGATCTTGTTTGCATATACTAGCTGCTTGATGATGTTACTCTCAATTCTGGCTGTTGTGACTGGGTTGTTATTTGCAACATGGTAATTTGGATTTCTCACGATTTTTCATGTTTGAAATGCTCAATGGGCGTGGTGTGGTGTCGTAGTCTCTTGCAGTTGAAGAAGCCAGTGTTCTGTAAACGAGTATTGGTTCCTCGTATAGCAACTTAGCAAATGTTTCTTGGTAAACAAAGGGTAGTGAAAGTCTACTGTGCTCTATAAGACTATTTGGGCCCCCCTTTCAAAAGTAGGCTTGGATTACTGGGTTTACAGTTAGTGTTTTACTAGTGAGATCGTCTTGATGGAAGTTCATCTCTAAGGTTGCTCTTTAATTTACAAATGAAGTATTTTAGTGTATGCATTCTGTTGATTAACATATAGAACAATCATGTAGAGTTTAGTTACTGCTATTAACAAAAAGAATTGTGATTATGTTAATAATTAATAATCAGATTATGATAAATGCATTCTTAACCGTGATATATTTCGTGTTTGTCTGTTGATGTCACTTGTAACATTTTCTGAATTTCTTTTGTAGGATAGAAGTGTGTTTGGTTTTACATTTTGGAAATTGTGGGGTGTAAAACGTTCCAAGTATTAGAGTTTTTGCTCTCAATTAGGTAGTTTGGAATAGTATTTGCATGATTGCATCAGTATTACTGTTCCCACACATTTGAGAGTCATTTTTAAAATTTTTATTTCTTTCTTTTGATTTTTATAATATGAGGCGATTTACTCATTTAGAATGAGTGGTCAAGCACATGACCGAGCATTCAACAATCAACAGTAAGAATTCCAGTTAGGATCAGGAGTGTTTAGTTTCTCTTTTGGACCCTAACACTTGGTAGTTGGTACCCCTTTCAATTCAATTTTGTGAGGGGAAATATTTGATTGACTCTAGCCTTTAGGTGTTGCAGATTTCTAGTTCTGGGGATATGATCTATTTTGCGATTAAGTACTTGTGAGGATGGTTTTGCGGCGGCATCCTGTGAATTCGACTTGTACAATTTTCCATAGTTACTTTCAAAATGAAAATTACTTTGAAGGCCTTCTATGGTAATTGGTGATCGAGCTTATTGCGTGCATTTGAGTATGAAAGATTTGGGCTGAGAATAATAAAACCATTAGGATTTGGTTAAGAGTGGTGACATATTAATTACTTGCAAGTTTATACATTATTCTTCTTCAATTACATTACGTGATATAGGATGAGAGAAAAACATTGTCCTATAAATTACTGTTAGATTAGTCTGAATGAGTACCTTCTTTTTTTGGATGAAGCTCACGGAATACTTTATGATAATCTCATTTTTAAATTTTTACAAATGCATTATTAATGATATAAACTATTGAAGGTATCCATTGGTAAACATGAAATACGTATGTTACAACCGAGTAAAAACTAATTTATGTAGAAACAATAAGATATGTGCTTGAATTTTACATTAAAGCTTTCGTTGCCCTCACAGCCAATACCTTAGATTCGAGCATGAAACTTGACAGCTCAAATCTCTCGATAGCTGTCTCCATGACACTGCAACTCTTTCTGGCCCAATTGCGATTGTTATGGTTTAGCAATATTACCAATGCCAAGCTTAAATAACAGTATAACAAACGAATTTATCTCCATTTCACATGTGATTAGATCTGCACCTTAACTATTTCTTTTTTATTAAATCAACCACAACAATGTATCTAACACACGAGACTTTACAATGATACATGTACTCGTACATGTGGAAAATCAATCAATAGAGGACGAAAGAGTGCTACAAAAGTTCCATTCCAGTCTTTTAGAAATGGAATTACATGTCTCTCTTGGACATCTTATGTCCCCTAAAAACATCCCAGCTTGAGACAATCAAACCTATCAAAGAATAAAACAGAGCTTTTACACAAGAGATTACAAAATGCCAACAGGAAGATGGCCAGTACCACGGATACAATAGTCGGAAGAACAGACTGATAAGATGCCGAGGATATTGCCCAACCTGTACATGCAGATGAATTTATCATTACAGAGCCAACCACTTCCACCGAGCAATACGAAGACAATGAGCGCAAAAACATAGACAATCATAGAACAAGTAACATGCATGCTTTCTCACCAAAACGACCCTTTTCTTCTTAAGGCACTAGATATGCCCCACCACATGCATACATACACCGATACATACCAGTACACCTAGTTGGCTAGTTACTTTAACTTCCCAGGTGAACAAGTCCCACTCACAACATTGCCTCCAGACATGCTAGTGTCCAAGCATCCACCCAATCGTGCAACTGCTACATTATATTTAGGTGGAAATGGGTAAGGAATCTTGGTGTTGTAGCCCAGAGATCTCTGTGTTCATCAGTTACAGCCAGAGATCTCTGGACATATCTTGGTCCTGGCATCATCCTATCCTGAGCCTAATGGGTACTACTATTACTTAACCTCAGGGCTCAGGCAATTAGATTCTAGACTTGACAAGGGGAAATAGCCATTTTAAGATTAAAGTCAACAAGTGTCAGCCCTCAAGCTGTCCATATTTCGCGTCTCCGCCATTTACATTTCATCAGGTAACGGGCTTTCCGGGTAGAGAGAGAATGGACGAAGAATGCAAATTACAGGCAGCCATCACTTTGTTTAAAATAGAGTGCAGCCTCCCCATTTTCACTTCATCTAGCCAATCCTAAAAACGTGGGTTCCTAAAGCTATCAACTATCACAGTGATGTTGCAGTATGGCACTCACAAGGCAACAATCATAGTACAATAACCCCTCTTCAGCTCAAATATTCACTCAAAATTAAAGTTTACTGCCTCTGAACTAATTGAAGGCTTCAGTCAGACATTAACCGAAATAAAGTAAAGAACATCCAACCAAGTGAGAAAGGCAAGCTAGAGCCAAAATTAAGTTCCATGTCTATACACAGGCTCTATAAATTTCAGCAATCTACCCAGCTATAAGCTGTACAATATCCAGCATCAATTACCATCTAGAATGGATCTAGAGAGGTACATAACACAGCCATATCCCTAAATAGTTCAACACCTATCGAGAGGTAACGCTGAAAACCGCAGGATCTAATTCATTCGGATACTTCACAAATTAAAATGACACAAGTTCAAACAATCTAATTCAGGTATATGCTTATAAATTCCAAGACATTAGTACTCACAGGAAAAAGTGCATCCAAAGCATCCCAAGCTGAGTGGCGAACAGCTCTTGTTGGATACATTGGACCTCCAGGAGAAGTAAAGCTGTACAAGCAAGTCTTCAGCCGTGTACTAGTAGTCATCCTAAGCTCCAAACCTAGAGCATTTGTTAATTGTCAGACAAGCCAAAGATATAAAACAAAGAAGCAGCACACCCAGAAATGTAAGAAACAAAGATTGAGCACTGATATCACATATAGGTAGTATCACCTTGAAGAACCTTAATTTGAGACAAGTAATGCAGCAAAACAGGCTCCACCTTCAACTTCAGAAGCTGTGTAGTATATTAAGTGGCAATGTGACTAAAATTAGTCCCAAGTTTCAAGGGATATAATATTTAGTCACACATTCAACACTTACCTGATCTGTGAGCTCAATGACAAACATGTCTGCTGGACCACCAACCAAGAATGAATTTGGAAAAGTAGGAAAGTTATTCAGAAAGTCGCCAAGCTTATCAACTGCAGGAAGGAAAGGTTAGAGCATTAATGGCAAAATAATGTAAGTCAATAAACACAACAGTATCAATTAAAAGACCCACCCGCATTGTAAAAGAAAATAAATCTTGACAATAGAAGAACCAGATCACGCTGAGCCTGACAAATGGTAGAAAAAGCATGATCAAGAGATGCCAGACAATAGACATCATCCACAGAACCAGAACAAATTGATCAACCCAAGCTCAAAGATAAGGATCATAATGTGTAATTCAAGGCCTTAGTCTGACCTGTAGTACAAGCTTGGTTAGCCGTGACTGATCCAATGTGACATCCTGAAGAAGATACTGAATGGGGCAGCAGAGTCAAAAATCTGATCAGGCAGTACAGGCTACCAAAATCTAAGAAACAAATAAAAAAATAATCAAATCATATATGTTGAAACTTACATGAAAGAGGGACTGGAAACGTCTAGTGTTGGTCTGGATGTCCATCCTAGAAAAATAATATGAATTCTCTAAGTATGCAGAAGCCAACACAAAATCAGTTAAGCAACAAACAAGCACAAAATCTCATTACACAATGGATGGATCAGTCACTTAAATATTAGGGATTAATCCTTTAAATCATCAAAACCGAAATAGGAGAGCATTACATAATGGAAGATCACATACCAGAAAACATTTGCAGAACCCTGAACAAGAGCAGATGAATAACGAAGAAGCTTCTCTGAGTCCTTAATTTCAACTTCAAAAAACTGCAAAAATAGACAAATAAAATATGCTCAACACAGATATTGAACACAGAAATAGGTTCTACTGGCCAAATCAAACATTTGCTCTCCTGTTTTACACAAGGTTAAGGATAAAATTATGGTATTAGCTAATCAGGCTTTCCACTCTCTCTTACCCCTAGAATCCACCTACCTAGAGGTGGTTATTGGACAGGTAACCAAATGGAACCCACTTTTGGCCCATCATAAGGCGACCCTTTTGTGACCTGACCTGCACCAACCCACCCAATAACCAGGCTTACTTCTACTTATCTACAAGGGCTAAAACTATAATTACAATAAACAAACCTGATTTACAAGATACAATGCGCTATTATTGCCAAAGGCTGAGCAAAGTATTGGAGAACACAGCCACAGCCAAATGTGTCATTCTCATTGGTTGGGTCAACAACATTAACTGATATGAATGCCTTTGAAGCTACTGTACTTCCAGAAATCAGAACCAGAATAATGTGCAAATCAAGACGGACTGATCTCTAATTTCAATAAGATGCTGTCCAATTATCTTCATCTTAACAAGTGGCTTATACAGTATTATAATCCTGCTTAAAGTTAAAACTATTCATCCGACACCCCATCCACCAACACTAAAACCAGGACTTTGGAGTTTGGAACCATACTTGATATCTCTAAACAATTGTATAATTAAATTTCAAAGACATCAATAATTGAGATTCTTGAGGACCAACGACCTCATGGTTGGGAAAATAGGGTATACTGAAGTACTTATGCTAGGCCGTAAGCTCAGTTTCCAGCCTGGAGCTAGTTCCCGTGGAAAGCTTCCTCAGTGTACCTCAAACTCACAAGGATCTGTTTGATACAAAAACCACCACCTACTATCCTAGTATACACAGCCTTACTCTACAGGCCCAAAAGAAAATAGAAGAGGCAATAGACTAGTTACATGGATTGCATAATCCACAATCCTAATTCAAGGGTCCTCGGGGAACACTAGTAAATAAAGATTAAAAAAAAAATTATCTGAACCAATGAAAAAAATCGAAACCCTAAACTATAACTTCAAAATGTATTACTTTACCCTTAAGTCTTGGCAGATAAAAAAGGGAGTATAAAAAAAATGATATCCAAAACTAACTTCAAGATGTAGTCACTAACATAGTAAAGTACCTAAAATCACGAGTATCCAACCAGTCTGTTTGTCAAGGCAACGCAAGGCTTAACAAGGCAAGGCAGTGCAAGGACAATCCAAGGCATCAAAAGGCACTTGAGTGTATCATAAGACATGATAATGTAGGGTGGGCCAAGGCATGAATTAGATGGTTCTGAGCACCAAATAGGCTTCTCGAGGCCCTCTTGGAACCTCCGGAATAACATTCATGCACAACGAAATCAAGTCCAAAACTGTTCACTAGAAGCCAAATTTGAAGGCTATAAATCCTAGAATACACGAAATCGGACCAATTTTGGTGGTTTGGGACACCAGCAATAACCTCAATGCATTCACGAAACTGAGTCCAAAAATATTGTCCGGAAGCCAAATTTGAAGGCTATAGACATGAAATGGGACCAATTTTGGAGGTTTCGAGACATTTTTGAAAAAACTCAGGATTGTAGAGGATGTATTATGGGGTCTTATAATGTTGTCCGGAACCATATATGGCTATTAGTCGGTCACATAAAAACTCGTGACAGCCTCGATTCAATGAAAGGAAGCATGCACATAAATGGTTAAATTGAAAGTTTAAAGGCAAAGCGGACGACTCCAACTACCCAAATGGCCTCCTCGAGTGTGGTATGGGCCATGGGAAGCACCTGATTTGTTTCCTTTCCGGGTTCGAAAAAGTAAAAAATTGTCCAAAACAGAAGGCTACAATCCACCTTTTTGGACCAATTTCGAATGTTTTGGGGACTGATGTAAAAATCTCTAGGGATGGTAGAGAATGCATCTTGAAGTCATCTAATATTGTTTGGAATCATATATGACCAATAGTCCGTCACATAAAAGTCTGTGATGATCTTGAGTTATTTAGGAGAAGCATGTACGTAAACGGTTAAATTGGTGATTTAAAGGCAATGTTGATGGTTCTAACCACCAAAATGACCTCCCGAGGTGTCGTGGGGTTCATGGAAAAAACCCCGACCTATTTTCTTTCCAGGTCCGAAAAAAGTCAAAAATTGTCCAAAAATGAAGGCTATAATCCACGATTTTGGACTAATTTTGGAGGATTTAGGGCACGGTGTCAAAAACACTCAAGATGGTATGGGATGCATTCCAAGGTCATATAATGTTGCTTAGAACCATATATGACCACAAGTTGGTCACATAAAGGCCCGTGGTGACCTTTAGTTAATTAGAGGAGGCTTGTACATAAACAATTAAATTGGCAATTTAAAGGCTAATCGGATGGTACCAACCTGGCCTCTTGACGTGTCATGGGGTTCATGGGATGAGCCTCTTTTCTTTCTGGATCCGAAAAAGTAAAAAAAATTGTCCAAAATTGAAGGCTTAATCCACGCTTTTGGACCAATTTCAAAGGTTTTGGGGATCAGTGTTAAAAACTCTTGGGATGGTAGGGGATGCATCCCGAAGTCATATAATGTTTTTTGGAACCATATATAATCACTAGTAGATCACATAAAGGCCTATGGTGGACCAAACAATAAGTAAAAAAAAAAAAAAATCAAAAAAAAAACTGAATATAGATTGCACAAATTTACCACGTGCTCCATAAAGGGCATAATCTCCAAACTATAAAAACAAAACAGGGAGGTAATAGAATAAATCTCAAGTAAATCAAACTCTCTTTTTGGCTGGATTCTATCCTTTGTCCCCCTCAATCCAGAAGGTTGAATTTTCTTCCTTAAAAATGCCCTTGATAATCAGTTCGGCTAAACTATTAGCAAGAGCCTTATGGCTTACCCACAATGCTGCCCATTGCTCATCAAAACATCAGCATATTGACAAATTTTATTAAGTGCCACAAAAAATTCACATACCCATTTGTGAAATAACAGAGCAAATATATGGGATGCAAATGACTGGCTCCATAGTTTCACAATCAAGTCAAGAATAGGCTGTCCATCCTCTGGCACCCGGATAAAATGGCCAGAAAGCACATCATAAAAACATAAGTGATCTTCTATGCCCTCTTCTGCAGGAACTATTGTTTCTGCACCCCTGCTGAGAATTATATCTGTTTTCAGTCCCAATGCAGAAAATTAGATTGTAAGACTAGGGTAACAAGGTAGACAACTCCTAGAGACAGTATATGACAGAATTCAATAAGCTCATATAGGTTGGCAATAACTATGTTCTCCAAAACGTACAGACCACAAAGTCAAGCAACACAGTATACACTGAATAATCACTTCATAGGTACTGACTACAGTGATCGCATTACAAATTAAACCAGCACAAACAAGTGGCCAAATACTTAAGAAGAAACAGAGAGTTAATAGCTAATTTAAAAGTCACAGGCTTAATTGACAGCAAACATGTGTACAAAAAGCACCCACAAATCACAAGGAAATTGTACTTCAAGCAGCAATAGCATTCCATCATGTAAACACAGACAACAACCATTCATCATCAGTGTCGAAAGAAGCTGAAAATCATGACTGGAACTCTGGAAGACCCCTAAGGAATACTGTCGGAGCTGTGGAAAACCTGCTTTAGTAACCAGAATTGCTTCCTAAAAATTATTAACCTTTGATTTCTACATATAACCTATGTAAGTTACAGACTTATGGCTGGCCAAGCCACATGTCTACAGATAATTTCAAGGTCTTCCTTCCATAATATCACATCTCTTTGGTTTTACATCATTTCAAGATTTGCAACAATTGGATGGAGTGCACATAAAAAGGGAGTGCTCATTTTTAAACAAATCCATATTATACGATGTACTTAATTTTAGCTCTTTTTTCCCGCAATTTACAAATGAAAGCAAGTTGGACAAGTCCCCAGATTTAATAAGTGATTTCTTAAAAAACCAAAACAAAAAACAAAGTTGCAACTTTGCAGACAATGCAAGGGGCAACTTGGTCTCACAATTTATGAAAACTGCTTTTATAGCAGCACACTCAACTCATGTCAAAAAAACCATCAAGATCAAGTTAAACAACTCACGTCTTTTGTATCTTTATCGGTTTTATCAACCATCACTAAAACACTGCAAGATTATAAACTTTTGCTAGACCTCCATAAACTAAGCTAAGAAAACTTTTGTTATCCAATTTCATCATCAAAGGCTCAAAGCCGCTCATTTTTGGTGTAGTTGCAAAATCAATTTACAAACAAATAGGTTTGATACACACACAACATTAGCTTCATTTCAATTGCACACTGTGGCATCACTAGTTTTGATAAACTAACACGCAGTCAAACAACAGCAAAACAGTTGCGAAACGAATATTTAATTCGATTTCTTTCAAGCCATACCATTTTACCATAATGCCAACCAGATTCTACTTAACCAACACATAATACCTATCAATTTAGTTCTTGCAAAAATCCAAACCAGATTGAAAACATAACCATTAGAGATGTAATTAGAGACAAACCTTTAGCACGGTCATCAACTTCCAACGCTATATCAGCAAATAACTCCTGCAGCACATTTCGCCGCTGCGAAGGACTCGCTTCTGCCTGTCAATCAATTCAATTAATCAATAAGTATCGAAAGTTACATGAAACAAATGAACTAGTACAAAGGAACTTTGAATCAATCAAAAATAGTACATGCAGCAAGTAATCGGTCAGATAAGATTTGAACAGAACCTATATCAAGTGAAAACATCAATCACATACTCACCAAATTACGTGAATTTTACAAAGTAAAATTTAAACAAGTTTACAAATCAATATATACTTAAACTTAAAATCTATTGCAGTATTTCATAGTTTATCAAGTCATAATTAACCAAAAACATTACTGAAAATTTCAAAAAATCAAAAAAAAAAATTCAAAAATTAGGAAAAAGTAAGCTCACTCGTTGAAGCTTCTTCTGGATTTCTTGAGAAAGAGCGGTGAGATAAGCGCGGCTTCGAGTCTCCGAATTTTGCTGCATTTTTCTGGTAATTAAAGCATCCGGATCCAATTCAAACCAAAAAATAAATCAATCTCTCACTTTTCGACGATAATGAGATTCGAACTTCCGCCGATAAAATGCGATAAGCTGAAAGTGACGATCTAAAACGGAATCAAATATAGAGTGAGAATGTATTTTTGACTTGCAATAAATTTGTGTAAGAGAGAAAATGAAATGTTGAAAATCTAAAACTGAATATGCATTTAATTTGAAGGTCGAAGAAAGTATACGAATTCAAAAGCGTAACGAAGAAGATAAACTGAAAGTTTGGTTTTCTGGAAAGTGGATGATGAATGATGATGCAGAACAGTGACAGGGAGAAGAGGAGAGAGAGAAAGAGATGACACGAAGACGCGGAAAAATAGAAAGTATGAATACGTGGAAGTGTTTTTTTTTTTTTTAAAGGATAGAATAACAGGAACAAAATGTGGTTTGAGTAGGTGTCAAAAACCGATCTGATTTGAAGTCGATCCGAAAAAATTAAATTCAAATTTTGACATATATGGTCACAATAAGTTAAACGACGCCCTTATTTTACCAAGTTTAACATTTAAACATAAATGAACATATATACCCTCAGGTGTACTCCATATTTTTCTTCCCTGGCCTCTTACTCAATCGTACATTCTCTCCTCCCAACAAACCACCACCAACCGAGGGCAAGGTCATCGGACACATCGCCGGAATTAAAGTCATTTTTTTTTTTTGTGGAGGGCAAACGCCAAAAATTTTCAAAACTCTAGGGAGAAACGCCTAGAATTTTCAAAAGTCCCTAGGAGATTCGAAAATTCTAGGCATTTCCACCCATAGAATTTTTCAGTTTTTTTGCGTTTTTTGTTTTTATCATAACTTTTTATCCAGAACTCAAATTAAGACAAATAATATATCGTTGGAAATCTCTAGAAGTCTATTTTCTAACCCAATTAGAATCATATCAATATCATTTTTAGATCTTAAGATATGGCTACAATACTAAGTTTGGTCCAAAACCAACACCCTTGCACTATTTTGATCATATGTTAATATCTAGAAATGATATTAACTTGATTTGAATTGGGTTGGAAAGTAAACTTCTAAAGTTTTCCAATGATATATTATTTGTCTTAATCCGAGTTTCGGATCAAAAGTTATGATAAAAACAAAAAACGAAAAAAAAAACTGAAAAATTCTACGGGATAAAACGCCTAGAATTTTCGAATCTCCTAGGGACTTTTGAAAATTTTAGGCGTTTCTCACCTAGAGTTTTGAAAAAATTAGGCGTTTGGCCTTCACAAAAAAAAAAAAAAAAAAAAAAAAAAAAAAAAAAAAAAAAAAACGACTTTAATTCCGGCGATGTGTCCAATGATCTTGCCCTCGGTCGGTGGTGGTTTGTTGGGAGAAGAGAATGTTAGATTGAGTTAGAACACGGAATACACGCGAAGATATATTTGTCCATTCATATTTAAATGTGGGCGTTACCCGATAAAATAAGAACGTCGTTTAGCTTGTCACATAATTTAACATGACTCGAATCTAAAATGATCCAAACAACCGTATTGAAACTTCGGTATGAGTAGAATAGAAAATTGTGGTAGAAAAATTGGGCCAACTGAATTTTAATTAAGTGGGACGGTAGGATTTATTTGTGGGGTTAAGAACGTGATACATGTGATCTTATTAAAGATACCACGACATAAGTAGAAATTAATTACACTACCTTAACATAATTATAGTAGATGGCTTGACTATGTGCATAGGAGTTGTCGCTATTGTAAATTGATTTGATTTTGTTGATCATTGTTGCTTGAGTGGTGAGGGTGGAATCATAGGTGTGATTGTTCGAGAAGGTGCCTTATATATCTAATGATTAAAATATGGTTGAGGGTTTGAAAAACATGTTTTAAGTTGTCGTTTGAATGTAGAGTTTATACTTCCTTTCATTTTACCTGCAACAATTTGACTTTGATTATTATCGATGTATAACTTCGAAAAGAAAAGTGGAAGAGGTATTTCTGAAAGACCCCACAAGGCTCCGGAAAGCCTTTAAGATGTTTGGAATAATTCACTTTGCTTCTTAACTACAACCCTATTCCAAGCACACCTCTCTTCATTGACAATATGTCACATCGGGCCTTTATGAGAACAACTAGTGGGTGTGCATAATTCCAAATAACAATACATGACTTCAGGATGCACATAGTGTCATCACTTGACTTTTTCATACTGGATCCCGAAGTTTCCCAATATGGCCAATTTTGTGGATTATAGTTTTCTTTTTTGGAAAATTTTCAGCTTTTCCATATTCGAAAAGGAAATGGGTCGAGATGCTTCTAATGCACCCCACCAGACCTCAAAATGCCACCTGGTTGATTAATTAGAACCATCCATTTTGTCTCTTAACTAAAAAAATAACCAGTTACGAGCTCACCTCCCATCATTGACCCGAGACCATCTTGGTCTTTATGAGACCGACTAGGGTGTATATGGTCCAAACTACTTGTTATAATCCTAGGATGCATCATCCATCACAATTTGAGTTTTCAGTATTGAGTCCAAAATCTCCTAAAATTGCCTAAATTTATAGACTATAACCTTCACTTTTGGATAATTTTCGGCTTTTGAAATGAAACAATAGCATTCGTAGTTAAGACTTCATAGAAGAATTACGAACCCGGAAAAAATATTCATTAAGGTCCTCAAAGGATCCCTGAGGACCTATTGTTGCCCATAACCATCTAATTTCTGTCTTGGTGTCGCTGGTTCGGCTTTTTTTCATGTTTGTTCAAAAATATCCATCAGATTTTATTAGCTACCAAATTGACAATTTCTCTCCCATAGTCCTGAGTTGCTGAACAGAGTCTGGAAACTAAAGATTAAAGAAATCTAAGATTCAATGGCCAAGTAAAGAAACACAAGCATATCAAGCAAGCCATAGCACAAACTGTGCATCACAATCAAGCGGTATTATAGCTTACGGTGCAAGTACATTCTAATTCTCTACTCCAAAACCGAAAATATATGGATCACTTACAATGTCATTGGAGGAGAATAACTACAGAGAAAAGAGAAAGGAAGGGGGAGAGGGAGGATTATGGATTTATATTCCTTCAATTGGATATAGATTTGGAGGAAGGAGGGAAAGGGAATGGAGGAATCCAATTTCCTCTCCCTTTTCATAAACCAAATCCTTCCAAAGTTCAAAAAAAAAAAAAAGGAAAAAAAGGAAAAAAAATCCACTTCTTCCTTCCCCTCCCTCTCTTTCCTTCCTTTCCCACCACTATTGCTATCCAAACATTCTTAAGCTAATAAGAATATAAAACACTGTACATCAGAATAAGCTCAAGAAGCTGATACAATACAGCACTCAGGTAAAAGGGTCAAAAACCAAAATGTGACAGCAGCAAGTGCATTGGCTCATCAGCCCCATTCACCAGCCCATCAGCAATCTTCTGACTCTGTCTACAATCTGATTCCTAGCATTTGTTGTCAGCAGTTGATATTCACAATTCTCATCTAAAAGAAAACGATAGACTTCCCATTCCCGATCTGATGCAGAATACCTGCCTATTTCAGCCTGGAATTGAACAAATTATATAAGCTACTTAGCATCTAGAGAACAAACTTTGCTTATCACTGAAACATTCAAAGATCTGTTACACAAAAATGATATGTATCTTCTTACCGAGAAAATGCAGATGCCAAGCTTTTTAAGAGCAAGAGTAGCATCATGGAAAACTCGAGGTCTTCCCCGTCCAGATGACTCAACTGGATTAGCAACCAGTAGTTCAGTGTCAGGCCCACGATTCGTTATGAGTACTCGCAATGGGTGAATAGGTCTATGCCTCCTGGTCTCTTTTATTTATACCACCATTGCCAGTTTGCCATCTCCCTTTCTAACCTGCCATCAGCACAGCCTTAAAAATAGGCCCTGAACTCACCTTTTATGCTCTACTTGGGCCACCAAGGAACAATCAATCAACAAACACCATGAGCAATGTCAACCAACAGTAGAGAAGTGAGAAATTTTCAAGGCAAATTCGTATTTTCCCATTCTGAAATTATTATAAGGCTTGTTTAGAAGTGGCCATGGTGATGTTATCAAGGTGGGAAGGGTAGGGTGGTGATTAGTTGGTGACAGGCTGGGAGAAGGGTGATTCTTGCATGGAAGAGGCATTCTTCAGCAGTTTGAGGCTGAGGGTGGCATTTTGGGAAGATAGATACATGGTACATAGTTTCTCTAAGGAGTAAAGAGTAAACAACCTACAAATATAATGGAATCAAAGTAAATGGCCTAATATACCCCTCCCCTTAAAACAGGTTAAACAACCTACAAATATAATGGAATCGAAGTAAATGGCCTAATATACCCATCCCCTTAAAACAGGTTCAAAATGAAATAGTATGGTCCTCAAATTTAGGATCAACGAATGCATGGGATAGAAGTGTGAAAGACATTGCTGCACAATCAGTCTATATAACTAAAACATTTAATAAGTTGTATAGCTCCATTGAGAAGGTAGATTTATGCAACATAAAAGATAGGAAGCTCATACCTTTACATCATGATCTTTCAGAGTTCTCATGATATCATAAATAAGACCTTTGTGGTCAACACAATGTATCTGAAATAGAGTATGACTCGGACTCAAAGAGTTATCCACGTTTACAGCAGCCTTTTTCAATTGTGTCAAATCTGCGCTAAGAGCTTGCATATGGCACTCCTTCTTAGAATACTCAGATGCAAAGAGCTCTTCAGCAACAGGAGGGGAGATGGATGAGGTACGTTTACGGGCCTCATGATGTGAGTCTGCTAGCTGAAGTTCACAGCTAATACAAGATTCACCTAAAACACAACGCAGTCGTTCGTATGCTTCTCCTTGTCTCTCCTTTGTGTGGAGAAGCTCCCTGAAATGACATATTAAACAGACCATACATAACTGTCAGACAGCATTGTCATTGTCATGCCTGAATGTAGGCTACGCAGCCCTTAGCCCTCTACATGGCATTGTTGCTTATCTTGTTTGTTTTGATTTGGCACATGATGAGATATTTAAATACCAAGAAAAGGCAAAATTTAACATAGAACTAATATACCCAGCTAGGAAATATACAGATATATACCCAACTATCATTAATGACATTGAAAGTAAAATATCTAGCAACGATACACATAAAATCTCACCATCAAACGGTAACATCCCGTAACATGTTCGCTCTACCTTGTAGAAATTAGACATCTGAGTATCTGACCTAATTATGTCCAGGGAGATAACACCTCCAGTGAAATTTAATGCAATTTAGTTCACATTGTTGGATTTAGGTGGATTTGGTATATTTCCTCAGTAGGTGTATTTTGTTGGACCGTACATTAAAACAACAATAATAATGTTGTCATTGTGCTACTAGATTTTGAATTCTACTGATACGAAATATTACTTCTGATACCACTTCCGATTAAGAATATTTCCTTAAGAGTATTAATACTACAATGTAAAAGGAGAACCTAGGTCACTGCTATTATTACTATTCACATAATAAGGTTGTCATTGTGCTACTAGATTTTGAATTCTACTGATGCGAAATATTACTTCTGATACCACTTCTGATTAAGAATATTTCCTTAAGAGTATTAATACTACAATGTAAAAGGAAACAAGAAAACAGACAGGTTGTGTTTTCAATTCATAAATTAAGGGAGGAAAGAATATATACGGTTGGAAACTGCCTTTTACTGAGTTAAACTAACTAGAAGACTAGAAGTAAGATTGCATATATATGTAGCTTTCTATAATTCTACCCTGCGCACGGCAGAATCCCTACTAATTAAATGGTTGAAGATTGCGTTGTAATTGTTTTCTAAGTCTACTCTAATCTAGATCATGATTCTAGATATGGGTTACAGACTTAGAGCTGACATAAAACCTAAACAGATAGTATGCTCATCAGAAACAGCCTCCTTTCTTCCCAAAAATTTTATATATATATATATACTTGTATATTTTAAAGATTTCTTTTTGTATGCAAATTCAGTCTCATGGTGTTGCAATTAAAGTTTGACAGCAGATAGAACAAAATGAATGCACAAAACAATAAAAAGGATTTATGGTAATCTTGAAGGATGTCAAACAATTATAAATTATAATTAACAAATAACTCACAGGTTATCAGTGATAAAGAAGAGGTCCAGGACTCTGTCATCCGGAGTCGTCGTCACTTTCACCCTCTCAATATTGAGCTCAAGCTCACAGAGAACATGGGTAACATCTAAAAAGAGATGCAAGAACCACATTGATCAATAGAAGAAATACACAAACCTCTCAGTAAAAAAAGAGGAAGTATCACATTGAATATTACCATATAATAACCCTCTTCGATCAAGGCAACAAAACTTTAACAAGTAAAGAGGAGAGGACTTGGATGGTGGAGGTGGAGTATAATAAAATGACAAAGAGCATGACGGACAAAATGAAACAAGTCGTTCTTTTAGATTTTCCCATCGAACTGCATAAGTGCTAGAATGAGGAACCACCCACAAAACAACGTAGCACCACTTTCCATCCGTAGAAACATCTAGCAAAAAAACAGGCAGGTGCAATATCAGACATAATACACCTTGCTACATTATTTACAATCAGCTGATTATGTTTTTGCAGCACATAAAATAGGAATATCTGTTTATTATATTCATAAACTAGGTACATAACAAAATTGCTACAATGGAATTGGACCACTAATGTATCAACATCATCTTATCCTAATGCAAGCAATACCCTTTAAAAAGCTCTATCCCATGGCAAGATAACAAGGGCGTACATCAATAATTAAATCATGGTCCCGAGCCAAAATACAGTTCTCAATCCGCTATACGCAACCTTGCTCCTATAAATAATATCATTTGTATCGTAAACATATCGAAAGTCGAAAGCTAGACTATTATCATCACTCCCGACCAGGTGACCAAACATTAGCTCATAAGAGTATATTCTCCTTTTTCATAAGTTAGCCACCCACCATGTTAGGTGTTTATACTTATTCATAATCATACGTATAACGTATACATTATATCCATATTTTCAGCGCAAAAACAACAAAATGTCCATGACAAACAAAATTAACTGTCCAACACATTGAGCAAATAATGCAAACTTTAACCACACATCGTAATTACCCCTAATCTGATTCCCATATAATCAATTTCATTCAGTCAATTTGCCAACTTTATCATCAAACCCATAATTTTTTACACTTCAACATGAATTTACGCCAATAATTAATTCAAGAAAATTCCCTTTCCCATATCCCAACATCTATCTTAAATCAAGAAAAAAAAATGCGGAAAAAAAATGCAAAATAATTTAGTACAAGATAAACTGCAGAAAATATGGGAAAAAAAATATTATAATAAAAAAAGTACCTCCTTTGGAAATGAAGAGGCCGAAATCAAGAATGGTGCGACAAATATCCAAACCAAGGCCAGATTTATCAGGGCAATTAACGGTGATAACCCAAGGATCACCGGATTTTTTCCCTTTCTCAATCGAAACGGTGTCGTCGTTAGGAATCCCCATTGAAGCACGGAAACCTAACGTTGAGATTGACGGCGTTTCTGTGTCCAGATCCTCCGCGCCGCCGCCACCTGCTCACAGAGTTTCAAGCTTACCGGATATTCAGGTATGTTCTACTTTTTTCTCTTTTTTGTGTAAGGTTATAGAGAGAGAATTTTGAGGCGGCAGAAAGTGAGTGAGGTTTTTTAATTAAAAAAAAAAAAGGTACATGGAAGCCACGTAAGCAATCCTTTATCCACGTGGCATATTGTTGCTGGTTGATCTGTTGGTAAAGTATATTCTGATTTTATTATTTTATTTTTGTAGGTTGAATTGTTAGTAGGATGGATGAAGTGCAAGTTGTATTGTTGTAACAGACTTACGATAAATTGCGTCACTGGAGAATTCGCGCGAATTGGAAAGGGAAGAAGAAGACAATACAGTTCTACAAAAGTGAAAAATGAAATTTGTAAATTCATAAAAATGATGAAAATACGTGTTTCTGATGAATCATGAAAGTGACTTTTGTTTCATTCTAGAGCCTTGAGTGCGAAATTATTGGAACTCGGCAGGATATTTTTCTTGAAGATACTAGTGTACTACATTTTTCAAGTGGAAATTTTTCTGAAACATTCTCCACAAAACCTCAATGTATTAGACAATTTCAGATTGATACTTACATCATACGGAGTAGTCTATAAAAATAATTAAATAACATACCATAAACGGGAAAAACAATAAGAAACATAAAGGGTTATGAAAAAAATTTAAATAATCATATCAGTAACTATTGAAATGTTCGTGAAATATATTTGCTCTTTCATTGATGTAAATTTTACAAAATAAGATTTAGTCCAATAATGATAATGACAAAGATTCTATTGTCTTTTCATTGAGTCATTACGAAATTGACATTTATTTAATTAAGATTTTGTGGTTTTCATATTCAATTCACCGTGAAATTGAAATAATAATTAATTTAGAATAATTGTTGGTTTTAAATTCAACGACTTAAATGTTCATCTCTAACTATCATAGACAATAATATCAACTTTTTATACTTTATACTTTTACATTACGAAATATGAGTAATAGACAATAAAATATACGGTATTAATGATCTAAGAAGTACAATTGACGTATAAATTAATCAAACTGATGCACTTATCTAAAAACACAGGGAGTACAAAGAAAAAGCAAAATTTATGTAAAAGATCACACCAACATTTATCATCAGCATGATGTGAAACCCTATCACAAACTCCATTATCTTAAATTTATTAGTGCTTAAAAACAAAATAGGTTAACATCTGGTGCAACCACCATTTTCTTAATTTATACATACATCAAAAGGTAGGTGACAGTTTCATAAAAGAAATAAGTATAAAACGCAGCAAAGAAAAACAAAAGGAAGGAAAAAAAAATTTGAATGTATATCTTCAATAAAGTTCTATTTTTCTTTCATAAGATTTTTGTAAAGAAACATAAAATTAAGAATAGTCTAATATTTTAGTAAAATCAACACACTCAAAAAAATAAGTACTCCGTACAATTTTAAAAGCCTTTAGTTTTTTCAAGTGGAGAACCAGCACAAAAACCTGGTAGAAGAATTGACAAGCAGAACAAGGAAATGCAATCAAAGCATATATGGTGTAGAATTTCCTACTCCGTAGTTAAGAGTTCATTAACCAGATTTTTAATTGATTCCTTCAGATAGTAGTGACGTGAAAAGGACGAGCACAAGCTACTTGACAAGCCACCAAAATGGAAATTTGAGGGCCATAATACAGAGATGATATACTCCTCAGAAGCTGATATTTCAGGAACTTTTTTTGTTGGTCAACTAACCAAAGGTTTTGGAGTCCAAACGTTACTGGCATAAATGACAAACAATACAACTCTATCGCACACGCCCACACCACTATACCAGCCACCAATCATCAGGACTAACTGCTGAAAGGTTTTGGAGTCCATACATAAATGATAAATGACGGATAGTACAGCTCTAGCCCAAACCACTATACCAGCCACCAATCTTCGGGACTACTACTTGCTGAAAGGTATCAATCAACACCAATTGGCTGCCCAGTGCCCAACTGTTTCCCTTACAGTTAGATCACACGATCTGGAACCCCCAAAATAACATTTTGCCAAAAGATCATAGCCGCCTTGAAAGAAAACAGTTTGCCAATTACTAAACCTTCAAAAAAAAAAAAAAAAAAAGAGAGAACATTCTGTACCAAGGAAAGCATGATCCTAAATTCCTAACATGAGCTAATGACTTAAAATCTTGTCAGCTGGTTCACTAAGTAATGGCTGGCATTTATACTTAAAGCTCAATTAACCACAAACAGCACATTATCTAGTCAATTTTTCCAAAGTTGAGGATTGAGGGCTACAAGTCTTGGAACCAAGAGTGCGGAAGTTCTAGGTTCATTGGTTTTGGGTTGGGGTTATATAATGATGTTTAGGCGTAGCAATCACTGGAGACATTGAGCCAATGAAGGACAGTTTAAAGGCCTAAAGTAACAAAAAGTGAGGCTCAAATGCAGCCAGCTGCTTGTAAGTGTTAATCTAAGAGTTGGCGTAGTCTTGCAGGGTCAGTCTAAGTACCTAACCAGGTCTGATGTGGGCATTAGCAAAGCTCCAAGTGTCAGGACCATCAGGAGGCCTGGAAAGCAAACTGCACCCTGTTACAAGTGTGGCTGAACCACTACATCAGCTTCATAATGCATTATTAACTGTCATAAGTGTAAGACATCGCATTTTTAAACAAAAGCATTACACAACCCCTATACATAGAGATAATCAGGTCAATGACCATCAATGCACCATTTAAAGTGTCAATTAACTTCACTACAAAACCTGTATATATCATAATTAAAGGGCTTCTAAAATTCATGAAGAAAATTCCTCACGGTTTCATTATCAACAAAAAAAACATCCAGCAACATAATCTTCAATAAAAGTTCAGAAGAAAATCTTAAGCATCAGCGCTTTTGTTATTCACCAGCCAGAAAAAGGCTTCCAACGAGCACAAAAATACATCAGCCAACTCTAGTGCCTGAAAAATACAAGAAGCAATCAAACATAGTCCAGTTGACAATTTTGTTTCAGAAATTAAAAGGAAAGGTAAAAACATCAAGTGATAAGATATGCACATGCATGATACAAGCCAATTACAGATAAATTACCCCAATATAACAGAGAAAAACACGTCCACAACATAACCCTAATGCCTCTATAGAGGCTCTTATCTTGATGGTGCTAAGTAAGATGGAGGTACACAACGTTATCGTCTTCTAATTGGCCTCTGACTATGTAAACAACGACCATCTACTTCTTTGAGAAAAAGATAGCAGTTCTTGCAGTTTAATTAACCATTTCAATTTAAATTGTGATACAAAAGGTGAGGAATAAGAGATGCTAAAATTTTAAGGGGGGGAAATGATTTGGGGAACTGAAGTACAAAATTAGTTTTTCCCTCTAACGTTGAGCATACTCTCCTCAATACACTTACTCTAATAATATTAGGTTGCCAACATTGGTGGTCTGTGGTTGTAATAAATGATACAAAAGGTGAGGAATGAGAGATAATACTAAAAATCCAGAAAAACAAAATCATCCAATGAACTAAAGTTCAAAATCAGATTTTCCCTCTAACATTGAGCATGCTCTCCTCAAATGCAAATATTGGTGGTCTTAATAATCTGTGAGATGAAAATTTTACCAATGAAATCCTCTTTGTTAGTTGATTTATGTTCCACATAACCTGTCTATAGGTGATTAATTTTTAACTATTGATACATAGCACAGAAGGCTTTCTTCATGGCTTACTGGACACTGTTATCATTAAACAACTCAAATCACGAATGACAAGCCTCAGAGTTACATGGACACCCAAGGATTCACTCTTAGTTGATGTTTGACTCTTTATAATAAGAAGATAGCATTACACCTCTAAAATGTAATTTTTGAAATCAGAGATATACCCCCCCCCCCCTCTTCTCGGGATTCACTCTTGCTTGACGTTTGACTCTTTATAATAAGAACTTAAGGAGATAGCATTACACCTCTAAAATGTAATTTTGTTGGAAATCAGAGATATATACCACCCCCTCCCCAGCTGACTGATTTGGCTGTAAACCATTTGAACTGATAACTTGTCAACCCATCAACCAAACATTTGAAATTACACCAATAACTTTTCTGACACACAAAAGGTCATGAAATTTTGCCCCCTCTTTCCTACCACCAAATTTCTCTCCTTTCTAGTATAAGACAAAACAAGATGACCCAAAAATTGACATGGAAGAGATGATGATTTGACCTCAAACAACCATAAAAAGAGGCAATCAATTAGTTTCTATGCAGCAATCTATTCCCTCGATAAACAAGTAATACGTCAAATGCAGGCAGAGGGAATGACCTATCCATAACGACATAAACCATGGAATAGAAATGACACGAAAGACAGCTGCCTAATGTTCTCTCTGACTCTACCCTTGTCAGTAATTTCTCAGCTGCGATTAATTCCCTCAGTGAACAAGTAATACATCAAATGTAGGTTGAGAGAATGACGACTATCATTTACAATAAAAGTCGTGCAATTTAAATTAACATGAAATACTGCTTCCTTAGGCTCTCTCTGACTCCCTCCCTTGAGCTGTTATATAGCAAAAAAAACGAACTCCAATGTTAAATCCCAAACCTACCCATTCTAGCTGCAAGCAATCAAACTCGTCTATAACCTAATTACTATGTATAATGAACAAATTATAGACAAATTAGATATCGACAGCAAAAATCAGTCTCCTTAATTCAACTCGGCAATAACCTAAAATCACAACCTTCTAGCTATAAATATTGCAAATCCAAAATGTCAAGATTCATAATCAAAATGAAAAACTTTTTACTGAAAAGTAATCTCAGCTCAATCCGACATAAATTAATCACTATAATATCAGCAAGAAATCACATCCAGAATAATAAACCAGTAAAAATCTCAGCTAAAACAAAATCAAACATTAAACCTAACCCTAATCAAACAAAATAACAAATTAAATTAAATTAAATAAATAATGCAGAAATTATAGATCTAGGGTTTGACGATTGCCTACTTTTTGTGCCTCTGAACAAATGGCGAGTTCTTCGCTTGCTCCTCTGCAAAAACAACAAATTAAAATCAATGAGATGATGATAAGAATAGGATCGATCATCGTACAATTACAGTGGCGAATTAGGGAAGAACGAGAAAAATATAGGAGAGAGAAAATGGGAATACCAGTAAGACCAAGAGACAATTTGGTGATGATGGTACCGGTGACGGCGAAACCGACTAGAAAGGGCCAGTTACGATTCCATTCTCTCTTGAAGAAAACTGGCCATGGATCGAACTTCCTCCATATTGCCATCTCTTTTCTCTTTTTCTCTCTCTTCGATTTACTCTTTCTATCTCAGAGTCTCAAAGTCGCCTTCGCTTACTCTGCTTTTTGTTAAGTGGTGCTAATATATGTTGTTGGTAGAATTCATTGATGAGGATGTGGCTGAGCCCATTATGTAAATTGGGTTTGTTTATCAAAATAAAATAAAATGGGTTCTGTGTTTGGGCTTATGGTGTTGTGGGTTTTTAACACACATATTTCAGTATGCTCATACGGGTATGGGTATGGGTATGGGTACAAATACGGGTATGATATGAACACGTCAACTATGCCATATTACAACCAAGCTAAGCTTGGTCTAGTGGAAAGGGTTGTACCTTCCAACCTTGATGAGATTGGGGGTTCAATCCCCACTAGAGGCACTTTGGGGTGGGGATTCTCTTACCCTTCCCCCTCCACTCCTAAAGTGCTTAGACCGCTAACCCGGCCTAGGAGGACCTGTGAGAGGTTCCGGGCCAATAATAGCGCACAATGCATAGGTGACCATTATCACTTTTGACGTGCTTATCTTCCTATCATGATGCGCTTGTTTAGTTAACTAATGTAAACGTCAAGTTAAAGGAAGATTAAGCCATTTAAACATTCCAAATGAAATTTCATTAACATCGGATCATTAGTCATTTCAACTAGCTAGGTTGTCGGGGGGTAGCAATTAAGAACTTTTGATACATATATATTGTGGATGAAGCCAATATGGATTATCACGTTGTGGGTTTATCCAAGAAAGGATTAATATCATGGTGTGTCTGTGTGAAGTAGTCTAGAAAATGAAGCAACATAAATTATCCGGTTAGATCTCCATGCATCTCTTTTTATGTTTGATTGGTTTTATTTTTAGGAAAATCATGTTTCTCATCACTGTGATTTATTAGGGAGTAAATTGGTCGATTTTGTTGTGAAATAAAGAGAATAGATCAGTATATTATTCCATAGAGTATGTGATATATATACATACAAATATACAATATAATAACTAGGGTTTGCTTAGATAACAATAAACCCTAAATCTAGAATATTTTGGAATGATACAAAGAGGATAATGGATATCCACACAATATTTTCATAACACTCCCCTTTGAATATCCATTATCGAAAATTGTGCATCGTTAAAACCTTATTGGGAAAAACCATGTGGGATAAAAACCTAATGAAGGAAAAAGAGTACAACATTCTTCGTAATACGCTCGAAATGTTGACTCATTAAAAACCTTATCAGGAAAACCCAATGTGGAACAAAACCATGGTCAAGGGAAAAAAAGTGCAGCGCATATTTTCTCCCCCTGATGAACACATAACTTGAGATCTTCTAGTGCCGTAGCAATGAATCCAATGTGGTTTAATATCTTCTCATATGTAGTAAAATATCATTCGTTGATCTTCGATCCTCCTAAACTGAAATTGCATCTTCAAGCTAAGTCTTCAAGTCTTTACGTGAACATGTAAGGTGTCTTCATTTCACCATACATGTGTTTATCTCTAATATCATTATTTCAAATGGTTGATTTAAAAGTTAAACATATGCGATTATGGCTTTTTTTGGAGGTCATGAATAATAGAAATTGATGATCATTATTTGATCAAACATTCATTAATAATTTGATGACAAAACTTGATATTATTAATGTCGTTCTTCAATCTCATATGAATTATAATATAACACATGTAATTATATATGCTAATCATGGTTCTTCTGGACCATAAGAAAATATTCTCACGCGTAAGTATTCAATTGATATTCTTTTGACGTTTCATAATTGACACGATAGCTCTCTTACAAATACAAATAGTAAATCTCCCTAACTCTCATATGCTCAAACTTTAGGTTGAGATGTCAATGATGTAGTCACATAGATTTTTCAAGAGTTTGATAATAATTGCAATATTCAAGATATAAACTTTGTAGGGTTGGATATTTAAATACGTCATATATAAGTTTTTCAGGAACTCTTCTTACGTGATTCATAACATGAAATTAAATCGGCGTCATCAATAATTTCATCATAATTACAAGCCTATTGGAATATAAATATTTCTTTCTAATTTTCCATCAAAGTTATAAATATGCCTTACTATACTTTGAATGAACATTCACATACACCACAATTATTGTATGGATACTAATGCATGCAATTTTAGATATAGAAAATATGATAACATATTAAACAAAATATACAATGAGTAATGCATCTAACAACTTCTTACATATGCAATGAATAATCCATTAACCTATGACTCACACATGCATATGAACATACATAGGACTCAAAATAATGCAAAATACTGTACAGTGTGGATTTAAAAATCCATATTTCATTAGACTTCTGGTAAATGATAAACTTTTAATTATTATCATTATGTCGACATTAAAATGGACATATATATTTCAGATCTCTTATTCACTAGTCCATTTTATCATGCATATGCATATTATTTATCGGTTCCATAGTATACCAGTATTATAATATTCAGTAAGATATAATTTCGCATGCTAATTTACTATGATATCTGAATACATCTCCAATTGGTACCATTATAACCTTTTTTTCATATCACAGGCCATGTATTATAATTCTCAAATATCTATATATACCACTTCTATCTGGGGTACTTCTCCCCCTAAGTTGGTAAAATATCTCAAATATTGGGGTAATTTTTCACCAACTTAGAATATAATGTCAAGTTCAACAAATTTCATCTCGCAGGATAATCGTATTCTACAAATTTCACCTCTTCTGGAGAATAATGTAATTTCCATCTCTTCTGGAGATCAATCTTAATAAGGAGTCATGATTTGTGCAGTTGTCTATTTTCTTATTCTATTTTGTATGTGCTGACATAAAATAACCCCAATCAAGAGATTAATTTACTATTAAATCACTTTTATGAAAACCCACTATATGATGATTTTCGAATTCTCCAAATACTTTAATAATGAATTTCTAGTTACCCAAAATTTCTACACATACAAGCTGTTTTAGTGAGCTTTTGGCCACTTATTACTGGTTCACATGCAAAAGCATATAATCTAAACTATTAAATCACAATCTAAATATAGCTCAATCTCAACGTTATGTCTTGCCATTCAATTCATTTCATGTATCTAACACAAGAGAGCATCAGCACTTTACTTTTCATATCAAATGAAACTTTGAGTTTCCAAAACCGTTAATTATGAAACTCGAATGGCCTAATTTAATCATCACATCCCATCACTTCTCTGAATTTGAACTCTAGTCAGTTTTCCACACTAGTGATCACTTTATTAAACTTATTTTATGCATGGCCATGAATATAATGTGATATTAGAACACCAACATGTATTTCTTTATACCATTGGAAAGACAGTCAACTAATATTTGATCTAATACTAATTCACACTCTACATGAGTTTTGACTGTAATCTTGATACATGTTAAGCTTGTTGGACATTTTATACTCTTCTGTAGTATTTTAAATAATTATGGTACGTAATCTTTTTAACGATCTATCAGAATGTATCACTTTCTCAAATTTGCTATTGTCAATAATTGCTCCTTTCCTGATTAAAGATTCTTATTTTTTATTTTGGAACCTGTTGGGCTACCATGCTTCAGGCGTGCTTTAGGTTCATTAGTAACTGATGTTGTCATTTTGGGACATTAGTTTTAATTGGAGCATTTACATTTGATATATATAGTCAATGTCATTTATTCATATCCATCTTCAGTGTCATTAAATATTTAATAATTATGTGGCCGCCTGTATTAAATAAATCATTGATATTTAAGCTAATCCATGTAACAACCTGACCATAATGTATCTTATTATCCTGTGCAAAGATTACATAAAATAATGTAATAAATATTATCTCTCCCTAATCTTTGCATATAGGGGTATGAAATTAATCCAACAATCTTTAAAATCCCCTGCACATGCCTTTGACAATGTCATGTATCAAGCAAAGTAAAATTATTCTTATAAAACTCTTATCAGTTCCTCTTTCCCAATTATAAAAATTCTTAAAACTATGAGCATAAAAAATACATTATTTCAAGTAAGTTGCTCAATATCATGTTTAATTTCTTGAACTCAAAACATTGTTTCTTGCTCAAATAGATTCTTATGAACTTATAATCAAGAAATTATCATACAAACATACTTGTTATACTATTAAGCACACAAATTCCTATTCAGTTCTGGGAGTGAGTAAATCAAGTAATATATGAATCATCAATTCTCACCTTGAGTTCGGTATTCAGATAGAATATACTATACAAAATCTTTTGTATATTCTCTTATAACATTATGTTTATGAAACCACATTTAGTATTGAAAATGGTAGATTATTTAAGCAACATACTTTACAAACTAATAGGAATTTAAAGGCATACACGTACCTTCGTGTTATTTTGGAGAGTTTTCGACCCTTCATAATTTAAGGAGCTTCATATATATATATATATATATATATATATATATATATAGGTCTCGCAACCAGGCCACGACACAGCAAAACTTGGCATTTCAGTTTTCGCCAAGTGTTGCGCCACGTAGGCGAAAATAGGTATTATTGTGACACATATGATACTAAGTAAGCGATTATTGGATAGATTTTTAAGATAACATTGTTGTATGGATTTTTATTATCGATAGAATTCTAATATTTCATAAATACAAAATTAATCATAACTTTTAATAAATATCCTATAATTGTGTTCTATTTCCATCATCAAATTCGTTTCAAAAAGTTCTTTAAAATAAGATTCATTTATAATACATGTTTAATCACAAACTTTTATACGTAGCTGGCCAAACCGTGTCACCAACTATTACAAAATTTGCTTCGTTAGTGCTATAAGGGTTACTTGGTCAGGTTATAGTGGTTACTCAATCAGTATTATAGTTAGGGGTAACTTAATCAGTGTCAGAGGTTACTCAGTTAGTATTACAGGGGTTAC